ACCTCGTGAAACAAACACCTTTGGTCATCTCACTAACGCGCTGTCAAACAGGCTCAACACCATCGCCAAGAGTCTGCAGAAGGAGTACACGTCTTGATCTGTTGGTAGGTGGGTAGAGGTAGTGGTGTAAGTGTGACGAGGCGGCGTGTAAGTCAGGAACGTGTTATGATAGGATATCAACATGACGCAGTGGTGTTTTTGGGCAGCCATCCTGATTTTTGATAGCCAAATGAATTTCATGGTCCTTTTTGGAGATTGGGGTGTCATGTTCATGTGTTTGGATGTCACAAGCATAATCATAGGTAAATGGGCATGTTTTTATCATGAACGCACAACCACAAATCGCCCCGCAAACAAATGTCGTGAAATGCTAGAGGCTCAGCCTTCGCCCTGGAAACACACGCAAACATACACACACGACGCTATGCTGTGCTACGCACGTGCGGGCCGCATGCACGGTAATAATTGCCGACCGCCGCCTGCCCGGGCCAGCTCGCGATCCCCTCGATGACCTGCAGGATTGGGTACTTCGCCCCCTCCATGCAAGTCCCAACCAATAGCGGAGGTAGTAGCGCATTTTGACGGTGATGGTGTGAAGCCAAGCGGGTAAGCATCTATGATGCTGTGACGGGAAGGGGATTTCGGCGTCCGAACGGCTTGTTGGGGGGCCACCTGATCAGACACTTGTAGGGCTGAGGTAGCGGGACGCTCGATGCGAGGCGCGAAACGGGCGTTGTCGGTCTAGACTGTGAGACTGCATTAGGAGCGCGCTGGTTGGTCATTATTTTGACGCTTTGCGGCTACGTGGAGCTGAGTCGCCCGAGTGTGGTGGAGGATGGATATGGGGCCGCTGAACGGGCCGAAAGAGAATATTAGAAGGGAAGTTGTCAGGCTGTGGTCAGCGGCCTCAGCCGACACAACGAAGCTCACAGGTAGATGTGAAGGCCCTTTGGCGTTGGAAGGGGGTGTTGATATCTTGTCGTTTATTTGGAATCAGTCAGTGCTCGGTCCAACTCTGTGCCACTCACTGACCCCAGCTCACACATGGCATCAAGACTGCGAGCGTGTGGCTCGGATGGAATAACGTCTGGTGGCGCATGGCTGAGGCCTCCCTGTGCCCTTTGCGTCTAGGACTTGTGGAGGGGCGGTGGGGGAAAGGTCCTACGAGAGATGGCACGGTGCAGGGGAGCTCTGGAGCTCTGGACTGACGGGTTCTAGCATCTAGCACAGGCATCACCTGGCTGCAGCGCCTGACGCCCCCCACGCTAGCGGAGCGTCCGGCTGCTTCCAGTGTGGGAGTGCTCAACTGGAACTGTACCAGAGAAAGGCTGCGGGCAGGTGCATGGATGGTGCTCGACGCGGACAAACCTAGCACCCTAGGACACTTGGGCCGACGGCGGTGGGCATGTGTACGGCGTGCCGAGACTTGGAGCACAAAGAATCGAGAGACGTTCGTAGATACGGCTCCCTCCTTCTTCCTCCCTTGCCACCCACCCGTATCTTATTCTGCCTCCCATCGCTCCAGAGAAGGGATTGGAAACATGACGGATCCGTCTTGAAATGCATTACTTATTGCAGGCAACGTGCCGCTGCCCAACATCCATCGTCTCATTTGCCCACCCTTGGTTTTGATGCACTGGGACCACCAGCACCAGAGACGGACCTGACTGCGACCCCGCCACCAAACCAACCCGACCCCATAATAAGACCGTTCGGCCGGCCGCCGTGGACCGACCAGAAAAAACAGGAACCTGGAATCTCGCCTCCCCTCAATTTCCCACCAGCATTCTTCGGCCGGCCCTGACCTTGCTTCCGCCACCGCCATCTCTCGGGGAGCTCTGCTTTGCTATTAGGCGTCTGCTGTTACTAAGGGTGTGCGTTGCCTCGGGCAATATAGACGGACCAGCAAGCGCACCAGAAGCCACCGCGGCCATTCGAAACACGACAACCCCGCCGTCCTCGTTGCCGCTGACGACATCGCCTGCCGACTATCGGCAATTTGCTCTGTCGCAGCCCGAGGACAGGGGACCAGAGCGTCCCAGCAGCTCCAACCCTCAAACCCGGGAAAGCTTCAAACTTGGGATCGACACGGGGCGCCTTTTTCTTGCTGTCCAATCCCGCCAACCGACCTGGTCGGTGGCTCGGTACAATCCAAACAGAAGCGAGACAAGAAGGCAAAGTCGAATCCAGCATCTGGTAGGTAACTACCTACCTCCTTGGTAGACAGGCGAGCCATTGTAGAAGCCGGCTCAAGCACCCGTCCGTCGTCTGTTAGCCTCCTCAGCCCTAGTCCTGAGTCACCGCCGACCGATTGGGCTGGGCCTTGGACAGCAGCGGCTGGAGACCTGAGCTAGGGTCGAAGCTCGTGCCTCGCTCGCCAACGACCCCGCAGGCGCCCAGGCCGACACGACAAATCCCCATCACCGCCACTACTCCGCCATCCCTCCAGACCGCCGTCGCAACAGCGACGCCGACTCGCACCCGACTCTAAGCCCGAGCTGCCCTGCCCTGTTCGCCCGTGCCGCCTCGGCCGGCGCGGTCTCACCAGCTAGCAAACATGAACGAAGATGACAGGATACAAGACATCTACAAGAAGATCGAGCGCGAGCGGGCCCTGATCAATGCGGCAAATGTTATGCGACAACAGACCAACAACGATGCCGTCCGCTCCAAGATCGACAGCCAGATGCGCGATGGCCGCCGCAACATCGGGTTCTTCGAGGAGAAGCTGCGCGAGCTGCAGATGCGCAAGATGGGCGCCGGAATGGACAACATGAGCCTTGGCGGTTCTACTCTAGGCCACGACGCCTCGTCGTCCTCGCGGCCCCGGAGCGCCGACATGCGCACCGACTCGGACGGCACCCCGATTCCGCCGCCCAAGGACGGCTCCCACGGCGACCAGTCGGGTTACGGCTCGACGCAGTACAGCCAGATCGGTCAGCACGGTGACATGATGCCTCCCAGGGGGCCCTTTGCAGCGCAGCCACCTAGGAGCGGCATGCCTAAGGGGCGCCCCAACTTCACCAAGCTAGGTATGCGCTGTTGCCCTGAGTATCCCTTTCTCTTTGACAACGTGACTGGGCCATTCTGACCGCCTCTCGTTGTCTTGACATGGCAGATCTGATCAAATACGACACACCCCACCTCGGCCCTCGCATTCAGCTCATGCTGTCGCAGATCCAGTTCAAGCTCAATGTTGAGGAGCAGTATCTGAAGGGCATCGAGAAGATGGTGCAGCTGTACCAGATGGAGGGCGATAAGAAGAGCAGAGCGGACGCAGCTGCCCGTCGGGTCGAGAGCAAGCAAAAAATAGTACTTCTGAAGCAGGCACTCAGGCGGTACGAGGAATTGCATATCGATGTCGACTCGGCAGACTCTGCGGATGGTATGTTTTTCTCCCTCCCCCGTGCGCCGCGTTTGCACACGCTGTTCTGCTACAGCTGGTCCATGTGCGCCTCTGGCAACACCTCCTGACCGAGTTTTCACCTGCAGATGACAGTATCAACATGCCCAATTTGAGGAAGCCCCTGACCGGTCAGCTCTCTATCAGAGTGATTGCCATCAAAGATGTTGACCATGCCCCCGTCGGCCGATTTACCCGGGGTCCCGAGTCGCTTGTTGCCGTCAAGGTGGAGGATAACGTCGCGGCGAGGACAAAGATGTCGCGGACGGACCGGTGGGAGGGCGAGTACCACAACATCGAGATCGACAAGGCGAACGAGATTGAGATTACCGTGTACGACAAGCCCGCCGAGCACTTTATCCCCATCGGAATGCTCTGGGTCAGGGTCTCGGACATCGCCGAGGAGCTGCGGAAGAAGAGGATCGAGGCCGAGACTAGCAATCTGGGGTGGGTGTCCGCCGACAGGATGGGCGATCCCCGCGGCCAGGCGCCGCCCAGCTTCCCGATGAACCCGCAGCAGCCCCAGCTCGGCGGCCCGACCTCGCCGGGAATGCAGGGCCAGCAGCAGGGGTACCCTCCGGGATCCCAGCAGGCGCAGATGCCCATGGGGCAGGTTCCCCAAGAGCCCGTCACGGGGTGGTTCAACCTCGAGCCGACGGGCCAGATCCAGCTGAGCCTGAACTTCCTCAAAGAGAACAAGGACCGGCGCCCCGTCGACCTGGGTCTCAACCGCAAGGGCGCCGTGCGCCAGCGAAAAGAGGAGGTGCACGAGATGTACGGCCACAAGTTTGTGGAGCGACAGTTCTACAACATCATGCGCTGCGCTCTCTGCGGCGACTTCCTCAAGGGCGGCGCGGGCATGCAGTGCGAGGACTGCAAGTACACGTGCCACATCAAGTGCTACACGAGCGTCGTGACAAAGTGCATCAGCAAGTCCAACGCCGAGACGGACCCGGAGGAGGAGAAGATCAACCACCGCATCCCCCACAGGTTCCAGGCCTTCTCCAACCTCACGGCCAACTGGTGCTGCCACTGCGGTTACCTGCTCCCCTTTGGCAAGAAGAACTGCCGCAAGTGCAGCGAGTGCGGCCTAGCCGCACACGCGCAGTGCGTGCATCTGGTGCCCGATTTCTGCGGCATGTCGATGGCTGTGGCCAACCAGATCCTCGAAGGCATCAGAACACAGAAGCAGCGGCAGCAGAAGGCAACTTCGATGAGCGACCGGACGCTGCGCCCAGCGACTAAGCCCGTGGGACCGTCTGGTCACGCTCCTTCAGCCTCGTACTCGGGCGCAGGCATGCCGCCTGGCTACGGGCCGGGGTCGGCCTCGCCTGAGGCGACAGAAGCGGCCAAGTATATGTACTCGAGCCAGACGTCTCCCCAGCGCATCACGTCTCCCGACAGGGCGTCCACGTCGTCACAGGCGGCAGCGGCGGCTACTGCTGCTATGTCGGCGATGCCCGGGGCACTCTCGTCGCAAGGTTCGGGGGCTGGCTATGGATCCGGAAGCGGTGGAAGGTATGGCGCCGGAGGCTATGGATCTCCCGAGGGCCGCGAAGATGATCCTTATGGCCTGGCACCGAGCCTGTCGTCTCAGTCGCCGCCCCAACAGCCCGCACAGCCTTATGGCTCACCGCAGCAGCGCAAGTACAACCCTGCCGACTATGCCAACCTGAGCAGCGGCTATCCCAGCCAGCCGCAGCAGGCGATGCAGCAACAGCAAGGCTACCAGCAGCAGCAAGCTCGCCCTGCCCAGCCGCAGTCGCCGCAGTCCATGTACCAGCAACAGCAGCAGCAATATCCGCAGCAGCAGGGGTCGTCAGTCAAGCCCCAGTCGCCGGCGGAGCAGACTGTCATCTCGCCCACGGCAGGTACTGTCATCCCAACTTCGGCTAAGAGACCGTTGCCCTCGGCTACAGACCCGGGCACGGGCCAGCGCATCGGGCTTGACCACTTCAACTTCCTGGCGGTTCTGGGCAAGGGCAACTTCGGCAAGGTCATGCTGGCGGAATCCAAGACGACTAGGAGGCTCTACGCCATCAAGGTGCTCAAGAAGGAGTTCATCATCGAGAACGACGAGGTGGAGAGCATCAGGTCCGAGAAGCGTGTGTTCCTGATCGCGAACCGGGAGCGTCACCCCTTTCTCACCAACCTGCACGCCTGCTTCCAGACCGAGACGCGCGTCTACTTTGTGGAGGAGTACATCAGCGGAGGTGACCTGATGCTGCACATCCAGCGTGGCCAGTTTGGATCCAAACGGGCGCAGTAAGTCTTTGATACCTCTTTTTGATACCTCTTTTTGATACCTCTTGGACGGTGTGCCCTGGCTTACTAACCCCTTTGATTCGCCTAGGTTCTACGCGGCCGAGGTCTGCTTGGCGCTCAAGTACTTCCACGAGAACGGCGTCATCTATCGTGACCTGAAGCTCGACAACATCCTCCTGACACTTGATGGACACATCAAGATTGCAGACTACGGTCTGTGCAAGGAGGACATGTGGTACGGATCAACAACGAGCACATTCTGCGGCACGCCCGAGTTTATGGCACCAGAGGTAAGGCTTTCTTAGTTCAGATGGTAGACCGAAAAGCAGAATGTCTTCTAACATTCGCCACTCGCACAGATCCTCCTGGATAAGAAATATGGACGCGCAGTCGACTGGTGGGCATTCGGCGTCCTCATATACCAGATGCTCCTGCAGCAGTCGCCGTTCCGTGGCGAGGATGAAGACGAGATTTACGACGCCATCCTGACGGACGAGCCGCTGTACCCGATCCAAATGCCACGAGACTCGGTCTCGATCCTGCAGAAGCTGTTGATGCGCGAGCCCGACCAGCGGCTGGGCAGCGGACCGACGGACGCGCAAGAGGTCATGTCACAACCGTTCTTCCGTAACATCGTGTGGGACGACATATACCACAAGCGCGGAGAGCCGCCGTTCATGCCACAGATCAAGAACGCGACCGACACGAGCAACTTTGACGCCGAGTTCACCAGCGTGACTCCGGTGCTGACTCCTGTGAATTCGGGTATGTTGTCGAATTTCCTTCTTCTTTGGGGCTACTCTTTACTAACTTGGGTCTGCAAATCTAGTCCTCTCGCAAGCTATGCAAGAAGAGTTCCGTGGGTTCTCGTACACGGCCGACTTTGACTGAGCTGTACAAGTAAATACGACGCCCTTGATCACTGGATCAACAAAGACTCGTGAGAAGCCCAGGATTGGGGCTTGGCCGATATCCGAGTACTGCCGATCCCGCCACTGTTTCCTCAGGCGGTTGTCTTGAGTAGGGACGGCCCTGATACTGCCCAAAGCACCCATTGTGCTTTGGGCACGGACGGGTGACGACCATTTTGCCCTGGAGCTGGGCGTGTTGCGATAGCCCCTCATGTCAAGCCTGGAGGCCGGTTCCGTCACGGAAGGGACGGCCATGTGGTGGCGGGTAGGCGGGGGCTCTGTAGTAAACGAGACAGCCGGAGACATGAACCCGGGCTGATGCGGGGGTGTTTTTCTTCTTCTTCTTGCCTCGCTGGTCAGAACGACTGTCTCGACTGGAAATACCCCTCGTTGGAGCAAGTTGACGGCGAGAATGGCACATCTGATAGACGGCCTTTTCAATACAATAAACAAGGTCAAAGCTCAATTTCTTCTCTTCAGCCAGCTCGAGACGGACACGGGGGAGACGGAAGGAAAGGCGTGGAGGCGAGCGTCCAGGAGGGACAAATAGGGGGCAGGCGTTTCGAGGATTTTTCCTGTATTGTTTCTGCACATTGTTTTACAGTATCGCCTCCCCTCTCTATCTCTCTCTCTCTGACCGTCATCAGAAGCAGCGATAGGGTGTGTGTGGTTGCCATGACGCGTAGGAATTGCATGGCATGTTTTCTATTTACATGGCTCCAAAAGTGACGTGGGCCCCACCTCCCTGTCGAAGTTGACGGCTTTGAAAGAGGTTCATCTCGATGTGGTTTCTTCACTCTTTCATAATGCGTGTTTTGTTCACCTCCTGAACACGAGGCTGGTGGCGGTGACGACGACGATGGCGCCAGCGAGGGCGCTCTCGAGGGCGATGACGGACACATCGCGCATACGCAGCTGCACGCGTCTCTCGCTGCACAGGTCGCTGCACAGGTCCGTCACGGCGGGCCGCCACAGCTTGGGGTCCGAGGCGAGTTCAGACCAGGATGATCTTTGTGGGGGCGGCGACATGGGCTTGAGGGGTGGTGGCGAGGGGACGGCGACGTCGTCTGCCGGCGGCGGCGGCGGCGGCGGCGGCGTGGCTGCTATGGGAGCAGCAGCAGCAGCAGCAGCAGCAGCGGCACCACCACCACGGGCGGCGTTTCCGGCCTTCTCAAACGACGCCAGCGACGAGCGCACGGCCTCGAGCTCGCGGCGCACCTCGTCCAAAACCCCCTTCTCGCCCTCGGCGATGCTCGTGACCAGGCGGCGGCGGCGCCAGGGCTCGGCGACGAACTGGAAGGCCAGGAACAGCAGCACGTTGACGCCCATGAGGCCCCAGGTGCCCCAGGTGGAGGCGCGGCGGATGCGGTCGGACCAGATCTGCTCCTCGTGGTAGCGGCGCATGATGCCGCTGTTGAGGCGCTGCGACAGCGCGGCCTCGTCGGCCTCGGCCTCGGTCAGCGCCTCGGCGGCGCGCGCGGCCTCGGCCTCGAGCGCGTGGTCGTGCCGGTACAGGTGCGTGAAGCGCTCGAGGTCGGGCGGCGCCCAACTGTCCTTGCGCGCGAGCAGGGTCGTGACCTCGCGCTGCGTCGAGGCGCGGGCGGAATGGGCCGTCTTGTAGCGCGCCCGGGCATCGCGGAGGGTGGTCTGGGCTTCCGACAGCTGGGCCTCGAGCTGGGCGTTGCGGCGCTTGATGCCCTCGATGGAGTCGTAGCCCGTCAGCTCGTTGAGCGTCTGCGTCCCCGCCAGGAACCGGGTCTGGAGGTTGTCCATGAAGTGCGAGAAGGGGGACGGCCGCCCGTCGGTGGGCTTGAAGTCGCCGTCTTCGGGGGGTGTTTTTCTTGTTGAGGTTTTGGGCTGTGGTTCTGGCCCGGGCTCGGGAATGGCTGCCTCCTCCGGGCGCTCGGTGGGGGAGGAGTTGGGGGTGTTGGGCGAGGTGCTAGGGGGTGGTGGTGTTTTGGCGGCGGCTGCTTCGGCCTGCTGGATTATGCGTTCAATGTCCGGGTCGTTGGGCCGGGACGGGGGTAGTGATGAGAAGGATCGCGAGGCCGCGGCGTGGCGGTGATGCCGGCCGATGCATCGTGCTGCGGCCGCGGCCAGGGGCGCCGACGACGACGATGCCCGGCGGCTCGCCCTAAGGGAGCCCAACAGGATGCGGCTCGGCCCGAGCAGCGGACGGAAAGGCGTAGGGGTCGCCATTAATCCAGCCCGGCGAGGGACCGAAGCCGACTTTTTCGACTAGGCCGGTGGGGGACGACGACGACGACGACGACGACGACGATGCGTTGCTCGAAGAGGAGGAAGCAGCAGCAGGCCGACCAGCTCTCCGGGCATCAATGGGACGACACGGGCGGACGACATGGGGGAGTGAATCAGCCGAGGAGGAGCCATGACGGAAATTCTGCAGGGGGTTGAGGTGTTTCTGCCGGGGGTGTTGGCGGCGGGGCCTCACCGCCTGCTGTACTAAGTAAGGCGGGAGAGGTAATTGGTAGGTGGATGCACTGATGTACACATCAGACTAACACAAAATACATCTACAGCACACGATATCCGTCATAAATCACCTCGGACCCCCTCCTGATGCCGCTGCCCAACCACATGCCTTCGTTGACCCAGTAATACCGCGGATCCCCCGTCTCGAGCCGGATGAACAGCCGGAACCTGTAGTCGCTCGCCGGCACCTTGTCGCCCTCGACCGGGTCCAACAGCCGCTCCAGCACGTCGGGCGGCCCCGTGCGCCAGCCCGTGGTCTGCACCATGATGTGCGCCGGCGTCTCGTCTTCCGTGATGAGCAGGTAGCGCGTGTCGACGTACGTGGCCTTGGTCTCGATCAGCAGCTGCGCGTCCTGCCCGCCCGCCTCGACGGCGCCGCCGCCCCAGGACGCGCTCCACTCGCCGCCCTTGAAGCTGACCCAGTTGCGCAGCCCCCAGGGCCCCTCGCCCAGCCCGATCTTGGGGTTCAGGTCCACCTTGAGCCGGAAGTCGACCGTCAGCCCGGGCACCGGCAGCGCCGTCGTGGCCGACAGGGAGCCTGGCGGGAACCGCGAGAGCACCTGCGCCCAGGTCTTTGTGGTGCTGTTGCTCTCGGTGTTGTTGGTCTCGGTGCAGATGATTGGGGTTGGGACCGTCGGCCCTTGATCGCTCTGCTGCGGCTGCGACCGCGGCTCTCGCGCTGCGAGTTGTGGGTTTTGTGATGACGACATGTCGGCGGCGTGTGGGAGTCGTGATGCCGTGGTGACGGTGGCCAGCAGGCTGACTCCTGAGAGGAGAAGTTGTGGGCTCAGCAGCATGGTTTCTATATGTGTAGGTTCTGGCTGACGCAATGCGCAGGGCTGCAAGGAGCGGTATTGAGACGGACGAAACTAAAGCCTGCCTAGATGGGTATCTATATACGCTGTTGAAATGACGGCGTGCCCTGCCCTTATAAATAAACCGTGTTGTAGAGGTCTCCACCCCCTTTAATCCGGCCTTCCCCGGGCGGCCAAGAGTCGGCCTGGCTCAACAAAGGCCTCCATTTGGAGCACGACTCTGGCCGAGCCGATCGTGAACCCCATACCCTCACGTACCCCGCATCAGACGGATCGGTCACTGCCAATTGATGGTTCGTACCCCATTCTGACCAGGGCAGATATTGTCCATATGAGCGGGCCATAGATCTTGGCTGGCGACGGCATCGACCCCGCACCGGCACCTGGAGTCGGCCGTGACCTCTATTGCTGGACCGGGTATTGGATCGGGATCTAGCGTTGCATCAAGCCACCCACAAGCCCGGTTATTGACCACCACGACCAGCCGAGGCTTCTGTTCTCTGCGCACCGCTCGACTTGTGGCAGAAAGTGTGTTTCAGGGGCAGGACTGTTCCATCAGCGGCTTGGATACTCTGTTGTCCCAAGCCATGATTTCAAACCAAAAAATACAAGGCGCACCATCCATGCGACCATTCCTCCCTGCTAGACGATATACAAAAAGTCGGGCCGCATGTCCCCCAGCGCCTCGACCTCGCGCCGCGTCTTGCCCTCGGTCCAGCTGTCTCGACCGCCACGCAGCCGCCGGGCGTTCTCGGCCCGCAGCAGCAGCGTCATGAGCACGCTGCCGCCGAGCAGGAAGACGGCCATGAAGCCCAGCACCACGGCGTGGCCCTCGACGAACCTGGGCGGCGAAAAGTACACGTGCGAGCTCGTCACGCCGTTGAGGTTTCCCCAGCCGATGACCATGCCCAGCACGACGCCGCGCTTGTAGACGCCCTCGACGTTGTTGGCCGTCCACGAGATGGTGTTGGCGACGCAGGGGTAGATGCCGGCGGCGCCCAGGAACGTCCCCGCGTACCGCCAGGCGGGCGACTCGGCCGCTAGCAGGACCGCGAAGCCCGCGATGCCGACGGCGGCGGCGGCCACGTTGACCAGGCCGCGCTGGCCGGTGCGGTCGGCGACGCGGCCCGCCAGCACCGTCAGCAGCGCCGCGGCGACGTAGGGCGGCACCGTCATGAGCTGCGCTCGCACCGCGCCGCCGCCCTGGTCCTCCTCCCCCCACCCGAGCCCCGCGACGATGGAGGGCAGGAAGAGCGAGAAGGCGTACAGGGGCATGTCGCAGCCCGCGTAGACGCACATGGCCAGCCACGTCTTCCAGTCGGAGAGTGCTGCCATCACGGGCGCCCAGCTAAAGTCCTCGCGCGACGCCGAGGACTGCTGGTCCAGCTTGAGACGTCGCGTCACGCGCGCGCGGTCCGCGGCCGAGAGGAACCGCGCCTCGTCCGGGAAGTCGTGCACCATGCGGAAGGACGCGAAGCCCACTAGAACCGTTAGTAGGCCCTCGAGGATGAAGATCCACGCCCAGCCCGGTCGTCCGCCCATGCCTGCCATCTTCTCGATCAGAGCCGCGAGGAGGCCACCAAAGGAGCCTGCGATGGCCGCTGCGGAGAAGAAGATTGCCTGTTTTTGTGACTGTTTTAGAACCGGTCGTCTTTTTCTTTTGCTGATATTTGGAGTCATATCACCTTACCGCTCGGATGCCAAACTCAGATCGCTTGTACCAGCAGGACAGATAGTAGTTGACGCCTGGGAAGAGCCCGGCTTCTGTGAGCCCGAGGAACCACCGCGACGCCATGAGTCCGCTCCAGTTGTGGACGAAACCCATACAGAGCATGCAGATTCCCCAGAGGATCCTGTCGAGATGGCCAGCAGGCATGATTAGGAAACTGTCGTGCAAACGGTCAAAATAAAGAAAGGGTCCCTATCACCCACATGATAATGGGGATGAACAGTGACGGGCGGAATCTCTTGAGCAAAACGTTGGTGACGGGCTCGGCCAGGGCGTACGACACAAAGAAGATGCTCAGCGTCATGTTGTAGTGCGTAGTGTCCAGGCCGAGGTCTGGGCCGAGGCCTGCGATCTTTGCGTTCCCGATGTTCGTCCGGTCGAGGAAGGCAAGGAGGTATAGCAGACACAGCTGGAGGGAGCCGCACGGGGAACGGGTTAGCAATCGAGGGTTGGGAGAGAAGTGGCACGCACGCGTTTGACTCGTCTAGTTCGTTGTCTCCCAGGCTTACCCATGGCATCAACCTCCAGTCTAGTCTTGTGACCAGATCTCTGTCCTGCAAACGGGACACGACGGCTGTTAGTCTGGAAACTTGGAACACTAGGGAGATTTAGGATTGTGTATAGTCACGTACGACCTGTTTTCGCTGCTCCTCCGTGAGGCTCGCGTCGGGGTCGGGAGGCAGGTCTGTCAGGGATGATGCCCTCTCGCGTTTGGGGCTTTGGGCCCGAGGCGGGATGTCTTTGCTCTCGGCATCGCTGGTGTTGTTTCCAGAGCCCCGAGATAAACTCTTCCTGTTCTCCAGCTCGCATTGGCCAGCAGGGCGACTGCTCCTAGAGAGGCTGCGCCAGGGGGTCTCAGTGGACGACATGATGGGCTGGTCGTGGTGTCAAAGTGGAATATGGAGCTACTTCGAGTGAGCAGGAGCTAAGTTTGGCTCGGTAGGCCCACCTAGCTCTTGAGCGCGAGTTCGGAGAGGACGGATTTCAATGTTGGGTCAGGGGTAATGTTGTCTCCACCACACATAACGCAGATGAGCTTTTTGGGCGCAGTGGCTCGAGTTAAAATGCTCCTTTCTAGAAGGGCTCTAGTCTGAGCGCCGTCTAGACTCTGCAGGTGTTCCAAATCTTAAAAGCGGTGACGTGACGGCATGGCGGAACTGTAACCCTTGTCCTCATCCAGCGAACCACAGAGGCAGTTACTGGTGATACTTTTGGCTCGAGCTGCACTTAACGCAAAGGGGAACGTGCATTCACCGCTCCTACTCTGGCTTCCCTCGAGCATCTTAGTTGATAGGCCATTTATCGAGACAGGCGCATTCCTGCCGCACACAGCCGGCTTGGCCGTCCGACGTAGGACCAGGGAGCAATTGTGGTTGATCCTGCCCGTTATTGGAGCTTGCGCCCGGGTACCGAACAGCGATGGAAGGCCCCTCGCGTCTGGTGTCTCTCGGTGTCGTGTCACATGGGACGAAAGGCCGTCTGCCACTACTGGGCGTCCACGGTGACGCCCCTAGACTTCTCGAATCGCTCCTGCTGCCACGAGGCACCGGGGCGCCTGCATGGAGCCGGCACACGTGCTTACACAAGCGCGTCGCACGCCGCGTTCTAGAAGCCTTCCCTGCCTTCTCTCGGGAGATTTGTTGGGGGACGCGAGCGGCAGTATGACGACCACAACCTGGGCAGCCATTGGATGGGCAACACGCCGACGTTGAACCCTCGCTAGCGGTTCCGGCGTCCGCTGGTGGTTCGGCTGCCCATTTGTCCCTTCCCGACTGCGGCTGCACGCCGCCTAGCTTGGTGTCTCGGGCTCCATGCGGGGGCCCGCCTGGGTGTCTCCATGGACTGCGTTTTCTTTCTTCACTGTGGCCACTCTAGTGCCTCTCCTTGGAGAGGGCTGCGCAATATGAGCGCACCAGACGGCGTGGGTTCTTTTCTACACAGACATCATCGGTGCCCTGTTCCACCAGGAACCCGCCGCCGGCTCCTCGGAAAGCAGAGACATGAAAGCAGGGTTGTCTCAGATCATCGACTATGTCTTGGATCTACCCGCCCGTTAACTTGGGGTAGGGATACGATGCGTATTTCACGCCGGATCGCGGGCTTCAAGTCTCATTGTCCCTGACAAAGCGAGCACGCCTCTGGGTACGGCCGGTTTCACTCCTGTAAAGTACAGCTGACATGCAACATTCCGCCCGATGCCTGATGTGGACATTTGCGGGCAGCTGCCGAAGCCTCCGAGCAGAGCGGTGAAGCGTAACAGGCGGGATGCGAAAGGCCATGCCCAGGGCGTAGCCTCGTTGGCTCGTCCGAGAATGTCGACAAGGACAGCATGCGTCGTGAAGCATGAGGGCTGACGGGTACGTGCCACCTGTAGCCACGTGGCTTGAGGATAGCCGCATGGTAGATGCTTAGGTGTGATTACTGGGGGCAATCAGATGCGCAGGCTCTGCAGCCGCTTGACGACGACCTCGAAGAACCGCTCCTGCAGCTGCACCCCTTCCTCGTCCTCGAGACCCGCGATACCAAAGGCTATAGGGCCGGTGAGACACGCCACAATCACATCAGAGACCGTGTCCCCCAGGTTGCTTCTGAGCCAGCTCGTGACGCCAAGCCCCCCACTCAGCAGCGTCTCCTTGGCCTCAGCGGCCTCCCTGGCGCTGACATCCTCAACGCGCGCACGCCCGAGGATTTTGAAGATAGGCTTCCAGAGTGCGATTTCCAAGAGCACGATGCCGAGCGAGTAGATGTCGTGGATTTTCTTGTAACCGCGACTGGTGGCCGAGCACCGGGCTCTACCTTGCACAGCCGGGTGGCGGTAGAGATCCTCGGCCGCGTCGGCCGACGCTGTCTCGGACATATGACTGTATCGCTCCGCCGCGGGACGGGAGTAGTCGAAGCCTGTGAGGTAGGGACGGCAGATATCCAGACTGATGGCAGCATCATGTGGAGGTGCGCAGTCTGGTGGGAAGAACATAATGTGTTCTGACCGAAGGCCCTTGTGCAGCCAGTTCACGGCGTGCAGCCGCTCTAGCGACTCGGCCAGTGAGCGCATCAGCGCGACGCGCGCCGACAGCGAGGGCGTCTTCCTTGCCTGCCGCGGCTCGACTATATGTTCCAGCAGCGACACCGGGCGGGCTGTGGGGTCGACGCCCTCCGGGTTCTCGTACACGCAGCCGTAGTCTAGCCTGACCGCCTGACCGTCGCTCTGCTGGGCTGTCGTGTGTACGTAGTAGCCTAGGCAGCGCAGCGCTCGGAACTGGCGCGTGTGCTTGTCTTCGCGTAGCAGGCCGACCAGAGCCTCGAGCCTTTCTGTGGTGGTTCTGCCGATGCGGCCCCCGTCTGTCACGCGGGGCAGCTGCTTCCACTCTACCCACACGGCGCGCCAGGACTGTGACGACGGCTTGTACCATGCCGTTGTCCGCTTGGTATGGCTTGTGATATCTGGGCTTTGTGAACTCTTGTGCGTTTCCACTAACTGGATATCTCTCTCAGCAAGCCTGGAAGACTGGCCGTCCGTCCACACCGAAGTCTCTAGTTGGAGGGTGGAGAGCAAGTCGCGCACAAAAGGACATGGCTTTCTTTCTGTTGCTGTGACGAGGACCTTGGTCTGCGCAAGCTGCGCCAGGCTCCCCTCTAATCCCCGGCGCATCGTATAATCATTGCGGTCTGATAAAAGCCAGGGCGAAACGGAGGCGGAAAGATGTTCGCTTTCTCGTTTGTTTGTTGCCTGGAGCATTCCTGCCTTGAAAAGGTCAGAAAGCTGGTCTATCTTGTTGTTCAGCTGCAGGATCTGGTAGTTCGTCCGGGTTTGCTGGCTACTGAGCAGCTCCATCTGCTGGGTGCTGAGCAGCTGGTCCAGATAGTCGTTCAGCCCCGTTAGTCTTCCCAGAAGCTCCTCAATCTTGGCCTTGTCGGATACTACCCAGCGGATACTTGTTGGGAAGCGACTTGTTTTCTTGATGAACTTCAGCGACTTCATGAGGAGTGGGTTGGTGGCCGGGAAGCGCCGCTGCACGTCATCGTCCCCGATGAGAGTCTCGAGCTCTCCATCGCGCTGCCTGTAATTGACCCCTGCGTCTCGACCGAGATCAACCTCGTCACTGAGCAGAAGCGGCCTTGTGAGAGGTCTTAGCCGTTCGTCCAGGCGCCCAAATCGGAGGAGCAGGCGGTGTTGCTGGTCGAGGACATCGAGAAGCAGCGTCTTGCTGGATCTGCTGATGGTGAGAGTGTCGTCGTTCTCGCTCAGCTGAGCGATCTGTGCCCAGTTGAGGAGACGGTACTGCTCGCTCTTGATGCGAATGCGGAAGAATTTGTGGTCGTCGTCGAGGCCTTTGGCAGCCGAAAGTAATTGATAGCCTTTACGCGCGCTTCGGTCAGCTTCTTTGTCGGGCGTGATGCAAATCGTAGATTATGGATATTGTGAATGCCCCTCACCTTTGATGCAGCCCGAAAATACCTGGAAAATCAGAGAAACGGCGCCTAGCGCAGTCCCAGGATCCATTCTGCCGCAGTTGTTGAGAGGGGAGTCTAAGGGAGTGTGCTCTATGTTGGTCGTGCTTTTTTGCGTAGCTTTGAATGGCTTCGGACGGCTACAAAAAAATTCCCATCTTTCGAATGCTGTCGATGGCAGAGCCTGACCTCAAAGGCCAAGGGCTGACGGATGCCGTCACAGTGCAGCAGGGCGAAGCTGGCTGCGTGTTGTAGAGGGGCTGTGATGGCACACCAGATCCTTCTTGAGCAAAAATTACCAGTGATCACCCTCTCTCACCATGGCTGGGCGTCGAATGGTGTTCGTGTGGCGACAAATATCCCCGCGGCTGCAGTACCCTTTCGCAAAAGAGTGTCGGTGTGCAGACCGCGTTCTAGGACACCGGCGTGGCTATGCTTCAGCTTTGTAATTCGAAAAGGATTACAGTAGTCCTTTTGTATCCTAATGTGTTGTCTTGACGGCCTCGGGGAATGATGGCATAGATCTGCCTCGCATGGAATTCGTTGAACTGGGATGGGCAGTGCACAGTCCTGTGATGGGTCATGTCGATCTGGAGGTCAAGCAATGCCTCATCCCGTCTGATAATGCTCCAGCCCAGAGTTGGAGTGCCTGCCTTACATATTCGGTCTCTCCCGAGCACCTGCCGTTGAAGCTCATCCGTTGAAGCTCATCCGTTGAAGCTCATCCGTAGCCCAGTCTCGTGGAAAGTGCGGCCTAAATATCCGTGCCTTCCTCAATGAAATTTGCACTCATGTCTTAGTGGAGACCGAGGTACCTACTCGTAGATTCTTACATTTCCATCTCTCAACATGACCCTCATCTACCACACCCCCTACTGCGAGACTCTTCGAGGAGACGAGGAATCGCCTGCCGCCGAGATCAAACACGTCTACATGCCGGCGCCACCTCAAGCCTCCTATACGAGCCTCCTGACGCCTGTGACAGAAAGCATCGTCAGCGCAGCCAAGCATCTTCCTAGAGAACTATTCTCGCGCGGCCTACGGAAATGGCTCCCTGAGCCCAAAGACCCCCTAGCAGACCGCTGGATCCTCAAGGATGCCGTCTTCGCCGAGATCAAGCAGCTGCTCATCGACTACGGCAGAGCAAGCTGGAGCTACTGCCCGCGCACCTTTTCGGTCCTGTGGATAATGGGCGTCTCGGACGAAACGATCGACAGGTTCATGGCTGATGACAGAACGGACCACTATCTTCCCTACAACGAAGGCAATCTCCCCGACGTCATTAGGGGTGCCAAGCTGCGAGGCCGTTTCCTTGCGCTGCAAAAGTCGGTGCGCTGCAAGAGAGAAGGAGATGTCGCTGCGCTCGAGGCGGGCGGGAAGCATGTGACGCTGTCCGGCGACGTTCAGACCTACTTCTACCCTATGATGAACCTAGGCCGCGGTCGGTTTGCACAGGTCGACAAGGTGTACAGTTGCCAGACGACCAAGACTTACGCGAGGAAGATGATACATAGAGGCCAGTCAGTGCTAGAGGACATGACGCAGCTTGCGGCTTTCCAAAAGGAGCTAAAGACACTCAAGACGCTCTCTCACCGGCACGTGGTGCAGCTTGTCGGCTCATATACGCACCCGACGCACCTGGGGCTGATTATGAGTCCCGTTGCCGACTACGACCTGCTTGGCTATCTCCTGACCGATCAGGTCAGCTCGGACGATCGGAAGCGGACTCTGCGTGGCTTCTTCGGATGCCTTGTTACGGCCTTGGCCTACATCCACAGCAAGAAGGTGCGGCACAAGGATATCAAGCCTAGCAACATCCTGGTCAAAGACGGGCAGATACTCCTGGCAGACTTTGGCACATCCAGGATATGTCTTGACGGCCACTTGACCACAAACGGGAACTGCAGAGAGGGGACGCCACGGTACTGGGCCCCAGAAGTAATGGATGGCGCTGTAAGTTGCTGAACCTTTTTCTCTGGAACTGTCTGTCTGACAATGAGTCTGGGGCTAGGACCGCAACACGGCCAGCGACATCTGGTCCCTCGGGTGCGTCTTTCTCGAGATGGCAACCATCCTGCTTGGCCACACACACGATGACATGTTGCGCTTCTTTGAGCGCCGCGGCACCGAGGATCCACACCGAATCTGCCTGAACCCGCTAGCGACAGAGCTCTGGATCGAAAAACTCCGGGCGGTTGCTGGGTTCGACCACGCAGTGCTCGGGTGGATATCTATGATGCTACGCCCCAAGTCAGACGAGAGGCCAACTGCTGCGCAACTGCGCGGGATGGTCCTCGACGCCAGGTCCCAATTCGACTACATATGCCCTGAGTGTGCTTCAGTTGATGGTATCTTTTCCTCCGAATCACCGACTTCTGCGCAGCTTGTGCACGGAGGAGCTCTGCAGTCTTCGGGTCTCATCACTCAAGGCGATTGTCAGGTCCTTAAGTTCCTCCCCGAACAGGAGACAACCCACCCGGCCGGGGGGAACGCGAGTGGCGAGGAGAATGAAACAGCCGCTCAGTTGACTAGCCAACCAAGTAGTCCCAAGCAAGCCGCTGCTGCTCAAGAAATCGGCAAAGCCGAAAAGACAAAGCCCAATGGCGATCCGCCTCCACCACAAGTCCATGAGCAAGAAGGCGCGCAACCACGCCCGAAATCCTCACAAGACAGCAATGCCACCGGTGTTCTGAGCCTCGCTGGCGCTGTCGCAACTGTATCCACTCCCGGGCCGACCGAGTCCCCTGCCTCAGCCCCGGCGGGCAAGATCCCCAAAAAGACGAGATTCTCTTCAACCAGTGGCGACGAGGGTGACTCGGGCCGCTTTAGAGGACTTCCCTTGCCGCTACGCCCTGAGACCACCCAGCCGGGCCAGACATCACACGAGGTTGAGGCTTCAGACGAAGAGTTTGTCTGCCCAGATCGCCTTTCCCCGCCACCGTTCCGCCATTCTGACTGTCTCCCGTTGCCCCGCGCCTCCTTGGTTCCCTCGTACATCCTAGCTGGAACAAACCACTTCTCCCCGCAGGAGATCCAGAAATCCTCCGCCTCCTCTCGGGCCAAATACGTTTTTGTCTATGGCCGCCTGATGTTCCCATCGGTCCTGAACGCCATCGCCTCCCAGTCAACAGCCTCTCCGTTTTACAGTCCGATCCTGCAGCGCCGCCTCCGGCCCGCTACGGAGGACTGGGGCAAGGCCGACTGGTCCATCCAGCGGGCCAGCGAGCTCATGACACCCGCAAAGCTGAAGGGTTATGACCGATGGAGGCCGCAGGGGCTCGACTGCGCGGTCATACAACGGTCGGCGGAGTATACCGAAAGTATTTTGAGGAGGAGAGGGAGGAAAAGATATAGGAAGATCCAACCTTCTGGCGAGGTAGTGGGATTTTTAATTGTTGGCCTTCGACCTGAGGCATTGAGGTACCTGGATCTGCTATTCTCTTATAGCGACAGCAACCTGTCCAGTCTCAACCCCGCCCACCTAGCCGACCGCTCCGGAGGCGGAAGCGTCGTGTCCAGACTCAGTTCCGAGCCCGAAGGAGCGCCGCTTCTACAGGGAGAGAATGTCAGCGTGGAGGTAGAACTCAACAACGGGCGCGTGGCGACGGTGGACGCGTGCACCTACGTCTGGTCACAGGGTGCAATGGATCTGTTGAGCCCTTGGAGCGAGGAGAACTTTGTGCGCGGGTCCGAGTTCCAGGCCATGCTGGGGAGCAAGCCCGAGCGGCAAATGCAAGAGATGGGTTTGGCTCGGACGATGCAGGTATCCTTCTCGCTGGTGGGTGACTTCTTGGCCCATGCCGTACTCGAAGGGGATCTCGAAGACCTGGAGGCGGCATTGGATCACCGCAAGGGATCCTGCGATCCGAACGCGCCCTGCCGCGTCCACGGCACTGCCCTACAGGTGGCCGTGGTGGCGGGGCGCGGTGACATGGTCGAGCTGCAGTTGAAACATGGCGCCAACGTCAATCCCGCCTCAGGCGGACGGTATGGGACACCCCTTATTGCTGCGGCGTGCGCGTCCCGCAAGGGCATAACACGCATGCTCCTGGAGCACGGCGCCGACGTGTACAGAACACACGGGGAGCACGTCGGCGCCCTGTACCAGGCCGTCGGGCACTCGGACTACACCGTCACCGAGATGCTGCTCGAGCACGGCGCCTGGCTGGCCGAGGACTGGGGCGAGATCCTGGACCTGGCGGCCGAGGTCGGCGACGACGAGATCGGCGGCCTCCTGGCGAGTTACGACGTCCTCGACATGCACAGGCGCTACCTACTCGCGCGGCCGGACAGGGTCGCCAAGATCGCGAGGCAGGTGCCGTACGGGCGGATCCTCGAGGCGGTGGCGCACAAGTGCGCGGCCGCGCAGACCGTGGGAGGCCGGTGGAGGGGGCGCAAGGGCGTCGCCGTCGTGGCCGCGGCGCTCAACGCCGGCGCGCCCGTCACGATTCTTTCGGCGCTGAGGAGGGCAGTCAGGCCCGTGCAGGAGCTGTTTGAGCTGCTCCGGCGGCACGACGAGATGGAGGAGCGGGAGCACGAGCGGGCGATCGAAAAGGGAGGGGATAAGGAGGGCGGCGGGTCGCCGGCTTGGGAGATGAGCGACTATGAGGAAGACGAAGATGATGTTGAAGGCGAGGAGCCTACAGGGAGGAGCAAGCGGCACAAGATTGACTTTGAGTGGAAAGGCTCTGGGGGTGCTGATCTGGACAACAGTACTAGAAGAAGCTAAATCGCGGCTACTGATAATGGATCTGAATAGGGAGAATATACCTATACAAGAATAAGAACGGAAGGAGCGACAGCGCAGCCCAAGTTATGGTGCCGGTGAGAAGCCAGCAGACGCCATACCTTGGGCTTTGAGACCTGGCCGGAGCGAAAGCAGGGAGCAAGAGGTGTTGATCTGGATATTACTCGCAGAAACTGGATTCCTCTCCATCAGCCCTGAAGTTTGAGGATGATACGCAGGTCCGAATCTCATCTTGGTGCCGTACAGGTCGAGCAGGGTTTTCGAGCCCTCGTTGGCAAAGTGACTCCCGTTGTCCGACGAGATGATTTCCGGCCACGCAAAGATTCCGGACCACCCAAAGGACCAGATGTCGGCGAGGTCAACCCCACGGGCCAATGGCAGTGCCTTACTGCGAGATGGTCAAGTGGGTAGAATCCTAATAATAGATTCTTTAGAAAATCGTCTTTCTGTCCAGCGATCGTTACGTTACGTCTTCGCGGCTGCAGATCACGCCAATCCATCGTTTTGGATCACCGCGCGTGCTTGCTGCTCTGGGCGATCTCCTTTATGCCTCTGGTGGGCATCGCAATATCCTGGAAGCCGGGCATGGGTAGGGGGTTTCCAGACCCGCGGCCTCGTCCGTTTGGTGCCAAGGCCCTGGGGAACAAGGGGGTGGCTCCCAGATGGGCGCATTGACGGTTGGAAATTGATTGCCACGCTGGACAGGGCACTACCGATTTGGGATGGCAGCTGCTCTCGAGGCTAAAGCTGCCTTCCTGTTTTTATTCTTATTTTTCAATCCTGTTTTTTATGTATTCCCCCTGATATTCCTGCCTACCGTGGTACTAGAAACTGCTATCTGTTCTGTGGTAGCGTTCCGGCACAAAGTTTACGGGAAACCCCAGCGCGAAACGCGGCTTTCACTGCCGGGTTGGGCCTCCCTGGGCGTCTTCGGGGGCCCCTAGGCCCCGCTTGTTTCACAAAACACGAAACTGGCGCGCAGAAGAACACTCTCGCCAGCCGCTGCCAAAGGCTTGAACCAGCCTTGTTGATGTAGGTATGGGTACACACTTGGCCCTTTGTACCCAACCTTTATGCATTGATGTTTCCGCCGTTCTAACCGTTAGAAACGTGTTTGGTGGCGGGGGAGATGCAAGAGATGCGCTGATTTTCACGGCCAAGGCCATCGTCGACTAGGCCCCCGGTGGGGATCGATGAAACGGTCGAGAAAGGAGAAGCATAAGCGGAGTTGGCGTGGCATTGGGAGGTGACATTCGCCCCAGAAAAGAGCACCTTGGGTTTGTTTGAAGATACCCCGACCTGGGGTGTTGATGGGTCCCTGGCCTTGCTCGTCGGGTTACCCGTGCATTTGAGGCGCGACGCTCAAGTTATAAAACGCAGACGCAACGCAACGTCTTCTCGTGGAAATTCGAGATGGAACCACCATCATCACCAACACCTGGGTCCTGTCTTTCCTTCTGCCATCCGTTGATTCTTTTCTATACACGCAGGCCGTGACTCCACTTTGAGATTCAAATAATTCGTCTTGTCTGAACATTTCCAGGAGATTTTCTTTCCCTCCTTTTTTCACGACAAAGCCACCATCATGCAAATCACGCAGATCGTCACCCTCCTCGCCCTCGCCCTCCCGGCCTTGGCCGACGGGGCGGTCGAGCGGCGCTACGTGGGTGGCCCCGCCAACGCGGCCGCCCTCGCCGTGCGCGCGCCGCAGTTCGGCAGGAGGCCCGGCGAGTCGGCCACCGAGTTCAACGACCGCGAGAACAACCCGGACCCGCCCGCACGCGCCGGCGAGTTCCTCAAAGGCCTCTTTGGCGGCAAGAGGAACGGCGCCCTGAAAAACGCGGGCGCGGCGGCGGGCGCGGCGGCGGGCGCGGCGGCGGGCGCCCAGCAGTCGGGGGCGACTCGCGGCAACAACGCTGCCACCGGCGACAATGGCAGAACTGGCAGGATCGAGGCCACGGACCCGGCAAAGCAGGCGGAGCAGGACGCCATCACGGCCCGGCTTGACGCTGAGAACAACCCGGAACCTCCCGCGCGCGCTGGGCAGATCCTCAGCGGCGGCCGTAGCAAGGGCCAGAGGCGGTCGCTCGAGGCGCTGCGCATTGACTAGAAGTATGAGGATGACTTGCTCGAGCGTCAGCAGGTGGAGAGTACGAGCCAGGGCGTGGCCGAGTGTTCGCTAAGGGAAGCTGTGTGAAAACGGCTGAACGAATAGCTCCGCACATGACGTTACGACGACTCAATTGCAAGGGCATCTCATGAATGCAGTTTTCATCGCTCTGGTGGTGCCATTTGTTGCATCACCGAGACAAAAGTCCAAAGGGAGATGGCCGATTTGTACATATGACAGGCTTTAGTTTGGGCCTGAGCCAAGGGAGCTGGGAGAAATTATGCTTCAATTTTCTTTCGACCAGAATTCTGCTTTATCCAGCCCCAAGTCGTCAAGCCACCCACTTTTCCCGCCAAACCTGGTTCCCAGGTATTTCGGCAGGAACCTCCAAGGCCTGAAGCTCGGCGCGTACGGGGCTGCCGTCCGCCTCGTACAGCCTGCCGGCCATCTGGTTGTCGGGCGTCTCTGTAGGGACTTCCGGCCCCTGTAGCTCTGCCCGCCTTTCTGGTGACGGTTCGCGGCTGCGCGGCTCCTGTGGTTTCGCAAGGCGTCTTCGCATCCGCACGAGTATCACCGCCATCGCGAGCATGCCCAGTAATGCTGCACTGCCCACCACAACTCCTACCACAAGGCCGATGTTGACTGATGGTGTCGCTGTGGGATCAGTTGGCTTGGAGGTTTCGTCTTTTCGATCTGTCGAGGAGCCTCCTCCTCCGTTTGAACTGGTGTTGTTCCCTGCGTTCTCTGGATTAGCTTTGTTTGCTTCACGGCCCGGAACCGGGCGTTAGCTGCTTTCCGGCCGAATAAAAGCTCCTCGTTCCACCTACCTGTGGCAAAGAGATCCTTCGTCGCCGGTGAGGCCCAGACAATCTTGTTGGCATTCCTAAATCATACGCCATCAGTCCACGCGTCAGTGATAAAGCCCTGCTCGAGATCCAGTCGTCTGGGGTGAGCAGCTGCCTACCCTGCCTTGTACCAGTCTACAACGACCTGTGGCGATCTGTACTTAGCGGCGTTGACGTCGTATCCGCCGCGCCACTGAAGCTCCGTCATGTCGAACACGCCCACCCCCTGGCGCCAGGGGTCCTTTGTGGTCCAGTGGTCGGGGCTCTCGTCGAGCCTGCCCAGGCCGCCGACCGAGATCATTTGCCTCTTCCCGACTGCGGCGCAGGAATGCGCGGCACGGGGCGTGCCGGATGTGGCCTGGGACCAGAAAAACCCGGGCAGACTCAAGACGTAGACGCCGTCGAACGCCTGTCCCTGTTCGCCTTCCGCGCCGGGGGTGCCGCCGTATACGAATCTGTGCAGCAGAGGGAACGTCCTTAGCCCAAGTGGAAGAAAAAGCTGTCTGGGGAAGTTGAGGGGCTTACATCTCGTAAGTCCCGTCTTGTCCCGGCACGCCCACGGAGCAAAACTGGCTCCTCTCGGACGGCACGCTGCCCGTCGCCGTTTGCGTGTGCCACCTGCGTCGCTCAATGTCGTAGATCTTGATCTCGGAGAAGCCATAGAACGACGATGGCTGGGCCCCATACCCGGTCGGCTCCAGGCGCCGCCCGGCGCCCCCGAGCGCGACGAGCACCCCGCGCCGCCCGCCGAAGCCAGGGACGTGCTCCAGCCGGCCGCCGACCCAGGTGCCGGTCTTTGAGAAGGAACCCTCCCCCGCGGCCGACTCGTTGGTCCACCTGCCCGTCGCGAGGTCGAGCGAGTACAGGCCCGGCGTGGCCTGGATCAGGCCAAACGGCACGCGCGTGTCGGTGAACCTCGTCGCCGCGCCGCCCAGCATGAATACAGTGCCGTCCGCCCTCGCGAACCCCATCTTCTCGGACCTGAGGATGCCGGCGGCGACGGCCTCATTCGCGGCCGTGGTGTGGCCCTCGGCCCATTTTCTGTCGTTGGCGGAGAAGGTCCCAATGACTGGACTCGATGAGATCTGTTCGGTGGCAACGGTCGAGCCGCCCCAGACGGAGAACGAGTTGCCAGAGGGCTCCGCCCAGACGGCGGCCCATCGCGTCGGCGGAAGCCTCTTCTCGATGCTCTCGATGCGCAATTCCGATATCTCCCAAGACGATTTCAGCGGTATCGACAGAGTTTCCGACGCTATAGAGTGAACCGCCGTAGTTAGATCACCGACTTCACCGGCCGTGTGTACATTGTAGGATTTGTCAATACCGGGACTGCTCTTCTCAACTTGGTCCTTGGGCTGTGTTCCGTTGATTATCTGTGACACCTCCCCGCCGTCAATGTACAGAGCGTCTCCAAGCACGACAACTGTACATCGAACATGTTAGTGGAGCGAGGAATTGGCAGACGGAGGAGCTGTTAACCTGCCTCTGTGGTGGGCCCTTCGGTAAAACGCATCGGCGGACGGGACCTGGCCGCCCGAAGACTGAGGGATCCTCGCCGTCAGGCCGTGAACGGCGGTGGGAGCATCAGGATGGGCAATTAAACCTGCCACTACGGAAGCTGTATAAAGCCCAAATAGACTTTGGCCCAGTGCAAGGAAGGCAAGGCAGCGCATGATGGACATGACTTCCAGCTCCGAGGCGGTCGCCAAGGGCAGCAGAAGGCGAGGGCGAAAAGTGCCACTGGTGAAAGGGCATGTTCAAACAGACTTATAAGGGGGAGGATCCGCAAATTAGAACGATGTCTGGTGGGGCCGAGAGCCCTTTTTGGGGGCCGTAACCATCTTGGTGTAATCCTCTCCATCACCGTGCCGCATGCGCGCATCTGGATCCAAAAAAAAGCCTAGTAACATGGGGGGTAACAGGGGGGTTGAAACTGGAGATCGCAGGGGTCGTGGTGACTTGGGGGGATGTCACGAGACTTCAAGAATTTTTCGTCCTTCAAAAGCTTTTTTCGATTTCTCTCCTTCTTTCACCAACCTTAGCAATGGCATTCCAGTTTTAATCCCTTTGTTACTGGGTGGGTTTTTAACCTTTGTTTCCCTTGCAGATGGTACGACTGCGGCTGCAGCCCTGAGCACAGCCACACAGCTGCGCAAATTACGGAGGGGCCAAAATGGATTGACAGCAAATCGTTTTTGCTCAAGCGACCCCGAGGTCAGCCGCAGCGGATACTTCCCGCCATCCGGGCACAAGATCCCAGGGCTGTTCCCATGCTCGATTCAGGGGGCCAGAAGTGAGGGGCGGTTCTGGGTCTTGAATCGACTCGGAAGTGGCCGCCTCCATCAAATATCCACCAGCGTGTGTGGTTTAAGGGTAAAATCCATCGTTGCCATCGATGGGCTCCCGGTTCGAGTCCGGGCACACGCATTCTATAATTCAGATCTTCTCTAAAACGAGATGTGGCCGATAACTTTTGCCTTTTGCCTCCTTGATATTACTTCGCCGCTCCAAGTTTTGGGCCCATTTGCACTTTCGTTCTTACCCAAGCGCAAACCCGTTATCGCCTCTCGTGTCTCGAGTGCGTGTATTTTATCCACTTAAAATTTAGCTCCGCTGGACCCTGGGCGTTGCTGACGAAAGGCCCTTTTTCGTGCTTACTGGCTAATACACGTGCAGGAATGACAAGGGGGGACGTGGAGGTGGAAAGGAGAGAAAGAGAGAGAGATAAGTAAATCTAGGCATTTTACAACGATGGGAATGACTAGCAGAGAAAAATAGTGCATTGTGCGTAGGATGGGGGTGGTAGACGGGCTCGGGTTGCCTTGGCGGTGCGTATGTGCCTCCGCATCTCAGGGCTTGTGTTCGCCCTGCCGCCTGTGGTAAAGCACAACCTGCCTATCTATAAGGAAGGTGGCGGCAGCTCAGGCATGGACGTGTGTGGTTGGCGACTAGCGACTGAGCTAGGCTCCCCAGTACCAGCATCCGTCGGGGACAGGACTCTTGCTGGGGGAAGCTCCGTCGACTAAAGATAGCACATGCCACCACCTCAGACATGGTGCCAGTAGCGAGTATGCACGCCAGACGCGTCTCTCGGTACGGCGTCAACTGGTGCCACGCGAGCCTGTATGGGACTGGACTTGGGCAAACGGGTGGGCAGCAGGAAGGGAAGGAACAGCCCTCGTCCCGCCAGCCGCCCTTGCATTTCTCGCCAGACCACACACCCCGCGGTACCCCGTTCAATATTTTCCCAGTCGAGTTTTCTTTCCACAGAAATCTTTGTGTGCAAATTTCCGTCATCTCCCAACCCCAAACCAGATGTCTTTTCCACTTCTCACTTGGGCCCGAAACCAACACAAACATTTCGAAGCCGTTACCAGAGCTGCCTACAGACAACAAACAAACAAACAAGGGCTTTCTCCGACAGGGTCCTCTCTCCTAGGGCTGCCCCGCTCCCATCCCCATTCCTCCTCTCCCAGTCAACCCAGAGTACACCAAGTCCATGAAGGCCTACTACGACAATGGCTACACCGAGACAGACAAGTCGGACTGGAAGACGGCCCTGGGGGAGCTTGGCATCTCCCCAATTCACTCCAATTCGGCAGCGCCCATCACGGCTCCCGGTCGTCTCCCGCAGCAGCATGTGACCCAATCAAGTACCGCTGCTCAGCGGTCCCCCGCCGAGAGACTATCGCCTCACCCAAGAGGCGGAAGGGCGGATTTCGCTCCCCAAGCTGGCCTGGCTGCGGTTTGACGAAATGAATCCTGTTCCTATCCGGCCACCCATCTCTTGGACTCTAGAGGCACAAGCGCGGACACTCACGCCACCTGTCCGGTGGTCTTGGCTTTTGTAAAACAATTATCGCATTCGAAGTCGATGTGGTCTGGAGCCTCGTGCTCTTCGTCATCGGGATCTCCTTGGAGCTCATGCAGATCAGCCACGCGACGGTGAGGGGTCGCGCGCTTGTCCTTTTTGTGCTGTAAGCAACACTGAGACGTACGACGAGCACCTGCCCTCTGGCTTCCTCTCAAAGTGTCAACGTACTATCACAAAACCGCCAAGACCAGAGCTAACCAGGTTTTCTTCCAAGAGAAGTGTAGGGCGCAAGAAGTCGACAGCCTTTGGCACGGCGAATTTCTCCCGAAACAGTCGCCCCCGCCCGTAAACCTTCGAGAGCTGCGGCGGGCGAGCTCGTCCAAGATGTAATCTAGTTCCTCAGCTCGTCGACGCCTATCAACGCCTGTTGCGGAATGCCCCAAAATATCCGTCGAAGAGAGAGCCACCGTCATGGCCTTCCGTTGCAGTTGTCGGGGCGCTTCAGGGATGCCGTTGTGATTATCCAGACGTCTGTTGATCGGCCGGAGATCTCTGTGGTTTTATAGTCACTGCTCCGCAACGGCATCAACGACCTTCGGCGCCTGGAGTTTCTCGTCCAAGATACAGATGTGCAGTCAAGGGGAGTAATCCTCGAGACAATCTTCTACCCCGATAGCAAGCCCTGGCTGCTCCGCGCATGTTATCACCTGGTAACCTACCTGCAAACCAACAAGGGATTCACCAAGGCGCAGGCTGTTGAGGCCATTGGATGATATAACGCCAACCTGCGCGATATCGACAAGAACATTATCTTCAACAGCTTTTCGAAGGAAAAATCGAGTTGCCAGATGATTTTCTCTACCATTTCTCTTGGAAAGAGGACGGATATCCCGGCCGGGGACTTGGTGCCTAGGTCGACAGCTTTCTCGCGGAATGAATTGAGGCGGTCGTGAAACTTGACGCACCAAGCGCGGAAGGCGTAGCTGGCCAAGTCGGCCTTTGCGATGTACAGATCCCCAGGTCCGTAAATAAAGACGATGCTCAGGCAGCCTGCAAACTCGATGCGTTGGCCGTCGCCTCCACGCCAGAGGTGCGCGCTCCACTCTCTCTTGTAGTCCTTGTCTCGGGCGCGCTCCCGGAGGTACTGTGGGTTTTGCAGTTTGGGAGGAAGGCCTCGCTCAGAGCGGCCCAGAGCGAAGCTTTCGTTAAGCCAGAGCTCGTTCCGCTATTCCATCGTAGCGAGGTTGCCGAGCCATTGATGGGCCAGTTCCCGGCGACGACGTATGCGGCGCGGTTGCGGGGGGCACGAGGTTGAAAAAGAGTTCCGAGTCTACATAGCAGAGCTGGCAACCGTTTCGTTATCTTTACAGCATATATAGCCTGCCCTGCTGTCACAAATTGCAACATCACTGCCTAAGAAGACGGTAGCGGCACTAGGGAGAGATTCGAGGCGAGCAAATTGTGAATTCATCAACGTCATTATCCTAACAAGTACCGTACACTTTCTCCCCAAGACGTACTCTACCACCGCGTGCGTCTGAACTTGGCGCTCCTCGGGGGCAGCGACGTGTCGTTGCTGGCGGCCTCGACCTGTGCGGCGAGCCCGGCGTCCAGCTCGGTGGCGGTGCCGGGCGCGGGCGGCTTGGCGAGGTTGAGGAACATGGGCGTGACGACGTCGCAGCGCATGGCCTGGCGGTCGCTCATGCGCTCCATGTGGGTGTTGTTGGTCTGGATGAAGATGCGCTCGCGGCCCTCGGCCGTGTAGGGGGTCCACTCGGGCGAGCCGGGCTGGCGGTCGACGTTGGGGTCGAGGTGGCGGATGAAGGAGAACCAGTAGCCGCGCACGAGCGGGAGGGCGGCCGCGTTGGTGGTCAGGTACGACTTGGGCGCGTTGTTGTCGCGGCTCTGGCCCCAGAAGGCGTGCGTGTTGACCGTGTGCCAGGCGCCGAAGCCGGCGGCCTCGTCGGCCGGGTCGATGACGTCGTAGTTGTAGTTCCACGTCGGGCTGCCGCCGGCGTCGCGCGCCAGGAAGTCGATTAGGTTGCGCGTCTGGCAGTGGTTGCCGATGTCGCCCATGGCGTCGGCGAGGTTGCGCCACTTGGCGCCCGAGTTGGGGAACACGGGCTGCTCCGAGTCGAGGTACAGTCGCTGCAGCACCGCGAGCGAGCCGTTGGTGAGCGAGCCGTCCTGCTGGAGGAAGAACTTTCTGGCCTCGTCGATGGAGGCCGTCGACTGCGGCACGTTCTTGGTGCCCTCGTCGGCGTCGGTGCCCCAGATGGTCGGCACGCGGCGGAACTTGCCCTGGCGGAACATCTCGGGCAGGCTGTCGGTGAAGAGGTCGCCGTCGATGCTGGGGTTGAACCAGCAGCTGCTCGAGCGGATGGCGACCTGGTCGAGCGCGCGCAGGCACGCGATCCTGTCGGCGCTGCCGGCGCAGCCCTTCTCCTTGACCAGGCACTGGAACTGCTCCTCCCCCCTGTCCATGGTGCGCAGCGTGGCCCAGGGCCCGGACTCGACGATGCCGCCCTTGAAGAGCTCCTTGCCGCCGGGGATGTTGGCGGCCATGAGCAGGCCGACGGACGAGCCGCCGGCGCTGACCCCGTCGATGACGACGTGGTCCGGGTCGCCGCCGAACTTGGCCACGTTGGCCTTGACCCACTCGAGCGCCTTGATCATGTCCTTCATGCCGGCGTTGAGCGTGCCGCCCTTGGCCGCCAGCTCGGCCGTCTGCAGGAAGCCGTACATACCGACGCGGTAGTTGAACTGCACCAGCACCATGTTGCCGGCCGACACGATCTCGCGCCCGTTCCAGTTGGGGGACGAGTTGGACCCGAAGCCGCCGCCCTGCAGGAGCACGACGACGGGCAGGCGCGAGTCGGCCGTGGCGGCCGTGGGCGCCGTGACGGTGAGGTACAGGCAGTCCTCGTCGGCCTTGAAGCGCGAGTTGGGCTTGGCCGTCCAGTCGTTGGGGTTCATGGGCGGGCAGATGCTGCCATGCCGCGTCGCGTCCACCATGCCCGTCTGCACCGGGTCGGCCGGCGCCGCGAACCGGAGCTCGCCCACGGGAGGAGCCGCGAACTGGATTCCCTTCCACATAGACACGCCCAGATCCGGGTCCGTGACGGCGCCCTGGAACTTTGCGTAGCCGAGGTCCACGAGCGTGTCGACCGCGCGGGCGCCCGAGGCCATGAGGCCCGCGGCCGCCAGTATGAGGGAGAGGCCTGTCGGTGCGCGCATGGTGGAGGAAAGGGTTATTAAGATAAGGGTTTACGTGCCCGTCCGCTAAGGGTAGTATATAAAAGAGAGTAACGGCTTAAAAAAGAAGCCTGTCCCAAAAGCTAGCGACTTGACTGCGAAGGGGCGGAACAAAGTCGAAAGGCGGTGGTGCGAGAAGGAAAGGGCCTTCCCCAAGATCCGGAGCTACTCAGCCAGAGTATTTTGTATTCCCAGAGCGCTGGTCTGGGAAGCGGTAACGGCTTCCCCTCTCACAACGCGACACGGCTCCTCCCGCCCCTGAGCCACCCTGGAAAGGGGCCCGACTATGGGGTCGCACCCTTGACCGAATCGGTCGTTGAGTCGGTATCGGCCTGGCTTTTCTCGAATTCAATCTGCTTTTAGGTTAATTACAAAGTGCTTGAAACGCCGCCGACCACGGTGCTCCTTGAATTCGCTTGTCATGCCATTGCGGAGCTTTGCCGCTCACCACGGACCAGCACGGAGCTCGGTCTGCTCGGGCCCAAGGTTTGCCGCACAGGGTCGGTTGAATATGAGGGGAAAAAGCGCACCCCCGGATCTTTAGCCTGATAGAGACGATACTTCACCGCCCATTAGACCCAAACTGCCGAAAATGAAAGACTAGACTACTCAAGCGCGGCGCAACGTGTTCGTGATATTCAACCTATTATGGGCATCTACGCGGACCCCCGACTCCATAAGACGAATCCTCGCCTCCCCTTCGGTCGCAACGCGCAGAATCAGCAGAATTCCAACCGGACCGTCACGGAACAGATCCTCTCCAGCTCCGTCAGCATGTCGCTGTACCTCGGGTGCGCGTTGGCGAGGAACGCGTCGCGCAGCACGTCGACGACGTCCGCGGTCACCGACTCGGGGTTCGCGACCCGCCAGTCGTTTCCGATCACGTCCATGATGGCACCGGTATAGTGCCGGACCACGACCTCGGCCACGTCGGCGGTTACCATGTGGGGGAGCTCTCTGCTGCTCGGGTCCAGTGGACTGAGGGTGGGCTGGGCGCCGCCGCCGCCCTCGAGATGCAGGCGGGGGTCCCCGCTGCACATGTTGTTGACGCACCGGTTGGTGGCGCGCGTCATGCGGTCCGTCAGGCTGTCCATGTTGAGGACCCTGAAGGATCCCATGATGCCGTACACCAGCCCATCGAAGTACTGGAGCTTGCTGCAAAGCACCTCGTAGAGGTGGACTTGCACGGCACAGGCGAGGAGGGAGTTGGTCGTCGTGACGACCCGCTGGTGAGCTGTCATTGCCGCTTCTGCTGCTGCTGCTGCTGTTTACTGGCTGTTTACAAGGTAGAGGTGCCTGGATGTCAAGTGGCGTGTGTAGACTACGTGGGCATATATATACTGAGCGTTGGATGGCTGCTGAATGTCCTTGTCCGGGCAACTCGTTGCCAAGCGTGCGTATTTATTTACCTCACACCTACCACAAGTGAAGCCATTGTGCCATTGTGAGTGACCAACTTCCATTACATCGGCCATGGAAGCCTGATGCCGGTGATTGGAGGTTGAGTAGCTCTGACTGAGGTGTAGCCTCTTCAATGCGATGGTTTAGTCTTGCTGATATCATCACATCACGTGTGCTTCTAGCCGAAGTAAAAGCTCTTTGATGCGACGGCCCAGTCTTGCTTTCCACACATCACGTTCCCTTACCAGATCACATGGATTTACCTCGATAGTGTTGTGTTATTCCCGACTTGGCGCACTTTTGCCGGTGACATGGCAAGCTGACATGCATCACCGCCAAGTTTGATGTTTCCTTTTCGGGGCAATGATCCCACCGAACATTCTGGGTAAATCACAGCTCCGCACTGCTAGCGCAGAGGCCATCAGTCAGCGTGCGAAATTGACGCATGACAGCGGACGTGGGAAATGGGAGCCGGCGCAGCTCTTATAGTCGAGCTCGACTGCCTCTTTCCATATGGACACGGCGAAATGGCCTGCCGCCAGATACCCAACACTTTGTCGAGTCAAGCCAACGCCCCATTTTCACCATGCCAATCGACTTCCACCTCAGCCCAGCGGAACAGGAAACCCGCGCCGCCGCCGCGGCCTTTGCCCAATCAGTCCTGAAGCAGTCACGGGCGGCGTACGAAGGGCAGACGGGACACGCCAAGCGCTTCCAGGCAACGCGGCCCGCGTACGAGGCGGCGGCGGCCGGCGGGCTGATCAAAGGCCTGGTGGCAGGGCCGCTGGGCGGGAGCGGCGGCTCGCTCGTCGAGAGCGCCATCATGGTGGAAGAGTGTTACGCAGTCGAGCCGTCGGCGGCGCTGACCCTGTTCGCGACGGGGCTGGGCCTCAGCCCGCTCAACGCCCTCCTATCCGCCGAGGGGGCCGGGGAGGGAGGCAGGGAGTTCCTGGCGCCGTTCCTCTCAGGTCAGGGCGCGCCCCTCGCGTCGCTGGCCTTTAGCGAGCCGGGCGGCGTGGCAAACTGGCTGGAAAAGGGCGGCAGGGGCCTCAACACGACGGCGCGCCGGCAGCCCGACGGGTCGTGGGCCCTGAACGGGGAGAAGATGTGGGCGACCAACTGCGCGGGCTGGGACTTTAAGGGCGCCGACCTCACCTGCGTGGTGTGCCGCGACGCGAGCGCCGAGGGGGTCGCGGACGACCCCCGCAGCAAAATAATGCTGCTGGTAGTGACACGGGCAGACCTGGACCGCAGCGGCCCCGGGGCCTTCACAGTGTTGCGCCACGTCGAGACGGCGGGCCACACGTCGTGGTCGGGCCCGCACGTGCGCTACACCGACGTGGTCGTGCCGGCCGGGAACCTTCTCTGCGCCGCGTCGCCGTCCGGGCGGGCCGCCGACGCGGTGCTGGGCGCCTTTGACGGGTCGGCCGTGCTGGTGGGCGCCATGGGCGTAGGCCTGATGCGGGCCGCCTTTGACGCGGCCCTGGCCTTTGCGCGGGGCTGGGGCAACGGCGGCGGGGCAGAACCCCTGCTGGCACGACAGGCGGCGGCGGACCTGCTGTCAGGGGTCAAGATGCAGGCCGAGGCGTGCCGGGCGCTGACGTGGAAGGCGGCGCACGCGCTAGAGCGCGGGCCGGGCAGCTACGCGGCGCGGCGGGAGCTGGCGCTGGCGGCAAAGGTGCACTGCAGCGACGCGGCGGTCAGGGCGGTGGTGGACGCCATGGGCGCGGTCGGGGTGTGAGTAGCATCTTGGCGATGCGTTTGGCCTGGGTTTTGACGCCCGGTGATAATGCTGACTTTGGGTGATACGCGCCGCAGGTCCTCGTATGACAAGAGCCAGCCGTTTGCCAGCCTCCTGATGGACGCCATGGCGCTGCCCGTCTTCGACGGCGGCAACGTGGGCATGAGGAGGCGCGATTTGCAACAGCTGATGATGGATCCAGAGTACGACGCGTGGGCGGCGACCTACGGGCCCTCCAAGTGACTGGCGTAGCACTGTAGGCTGGGAGCGGGGGCGCTTTTGGTTTCATTGCGTGTTTGTTGGTCGCAGAGATCGTCCTTCGGCTGCTCTGGAGGGGCCTGTGCGTTAGAGCGTTGGAGCGTGGAGGCTGGGGGCGGGGAGAGAGTCCACAGCAAGCGCTGTTGGCTCGACACGTCGACAGCGCACGTGCACCCTGAATTCGTCCCATCAAATCGCCATATCAAATCGTCATCCGCTCGAGCCACCAACAGCGTTTGCCCCACTGATTAGGATGGCGGGAAGCTGCAGCTCAAATCTCAATTTGGCGGGGACCTTTCCTATCTGAGCGGGACCTTCCTACCCGTGCCGCATCTTCCAGCCAACCCCGGCTCTGCTCGACCAACCGGATTTCGAGCATCCAGAAGACGCAGGAAGACAGGAGGTGCCACCCCTCGCCATCTGTGGCAGAAAAAGAAGTCCCAAGCGACATGTTTCGGACGAGCCACACGGAGCATTTCGTTGCGGCTAAAAACATAAACAGAAAAAAAAGGATGCCAGCCAAACTACGAGTTTCAGCCCGCCCAGCCCTACCTGCACCGTAGATCAGGACCACGCCAAGCTCGCAGAGACGACAGGCGCCAAGCCGTAGTGGGTGTCTCCGTGATGTGTCAAGCCGCCCACCCCGCCCCTGGCGCCGGCGGACTACTCGACTGGCACCCGCCATATCATACCCGGCTCGTTGATCCCAACACGGCTCGGCTGGCCGGCTACTACACCGCATTAGAGCCCCCTGCAGCTCTTGTCCGTCCTCTTGCGACTTCTGGGGTTAGGAGCGCCTCCTGGGGTCAGGAAGTGAGATGTCCACCCGTCGGCCGCGCTATCGAGGGGAGCGCATGTCCCAACCGACAGTCGAGGGCGTATAAGACGAGCCGGGGACGGCCGTGTCGGACGATCTAGATGGCAGCCGGTTCCCCAGCCCTCATTCGCACCGTAATCCCATCTGCTGCTCTACCTCCTCCCCCCAAAGGCTCACACCGGGACAGGTTTCCCCCTCCGACAGCGGAAAGATGGCTTTCCAAAACGTCACCCAGGCCGCGTCGATCGCGGCCGACGGCGTCGACGTCTTCTTCCGCACCGCCGGCGACCCGCAGAACCCCGCCATGGTGCTGCTGCACGGCTTCCCGACCTCGTCGCACATGTTCCGCAACCTGATCCCGCTGCTGGCCCTCAACTTTTACGTCGTGGCCCCGGACCTGCCCGCTTTCGGCTTCACGAAAATCCCCGCGGGCCGCAACTACGCCTTCACCTTTGACGCGCTCGCCAACACCTTTGCCGCCTTCCTGGACGCCATGCAGATCTCGCGCTATGCCGTCTACGTCTTCGACTACGGCGCCCCCGTCGCCATGCGCGTCGCCGCCGCCCGCCCGGACAGTGTTGCAGCCATCATTACGCAGAACGGCAACGCTTATGAAGAAGGGCTGGACGATGCGGGCTGGGCCGGGTTCCGCGCCTACTGTAGGTTTCTTTTTCTTTTCTTTCTTCTTCTTTTCTTTCCCCTGATCTTCCTTTCTTTATCGCTCCCGTACTAACATCACACAGGGGCCTCCAACTCCACCGCGGACCGCGACGCCCTGCGCCCGCTCCTGACGCTCGAGTCGACCCAGATGCAGTACAGCGCCGGCTTCCCCTTCCCCGAGGCCGTGCAGCGCGAGGCCGCGATCCTAGACCAGGCCCTGCTGGACGCGGGCGACAAGGAGGTGCAGCTCGACCTCTTCTTCGACTACCGCAAGAACGTGGAGCTGTACCCGTCCTTCCAGCAGTACTTTCGCGACTCCGGGGTGCCCATCCTGGCCGCGTGGGGCAACAAGGACCCCTTCTTCACCGTCCCCGGCGCCCAGGCCTACGGCCGCGACGCCCGCGTCTTCCAGCTCGAGCTGCTCGACGCTGGCCACTTCGCCCTCGAGACAAACGAGGTCCGCGTCGCAGAGCTCATCAACGGCTTTGTGACGAGCAACAACGTCTTTGGCAATGCTGCCGGGGCCGCTGCGGGCGCCAACACCCCTGCCGCCGTGCCAGCTGCCCCCGGCACCATCGCCCCTGGCACCGTCATCCCTGGTGTTGGCACGGTGCAAGAAATCACAAGGATCGTCATTGGCGCTTAGATGCATTGGGAAAGAGGTAATGAAAGAGAAATTGGTATCTGGGTAGTCATGAATAGAACTGAAGATAATATTGATGGTGAATACGGGCGCGATCAACTGTCGTAGGCTTATGTCCAGAAGTCTTTTTGACCTACACCCCTTGCTGACGTCTATTTCCACCTTTTCCGAAGCCGTCTCGACACTAGTCACGCCGTCAGTGCGTGATGGTTGGCGGGTGTCGGCAGGCGCCTTCTGTATGGCGGTTTTTTTTTTTTTGACAAGGCAAGCTTCGTATGTCGAAATGATCAAAATTGCAATACTCTGCAACTCTCGAGAGTGCTCGGACACCCTTAGCTAAGTGATTAAACGCAAAATCTTCCGCAATTTTACAAAGAACATTCTCCCGTGCGTCACGGCGTGCTCTATAATCCTCCATCTTACACACCACACAACAATAAGCGTTGCTGGTGCAGCTAGACATCTATGCCGAGTGGCGCCAGCCTTATGTTGTATTCAAGCTCGAGTTCGGCTTGAGCATCGTCGTGTCTTTCCTTGAACTGCACAGTCAGCCCATCCTTGACGGCAAATACTGCGTCGTCGTCTAGGTAATCAGATTCCTCGTCGAATATCTGCGTCGTGATGGGCTTGAATCCCCCGGCTTGGACCTGAGTCGAAGAAAGAGATAGCAATGTTAGCCTGTGGAGCACTCTTGTAAGCAAGACGTAAATAGACTTACAAGGAGGTGGATATGGGCGGGACGCCATGGGTGCCGGTCGAGCACTTTCAGCAGTTCGCCAGCAGGCCCGTCGTCGGGAATCTGGTACCAAGAGGGTTAGCGTTAGCGTGAAGAATTGCAGCTGTTGAGAACGAGTCGGAATTAAGTGATGGCATACCGGATAGGGAGTCGGTCTGAGGCAGTAGAACGAGTAGCGACCTTGCTTGTCGGTGGTGAAAACACCGCGCAGGTTGTGGTCCCTTTGATTCGGGTCCTGCTGCTCGTATAGTCCTGCTCGCCGCAAAAAAGCCTGTCATCAGCATCCAGCTGTCGATTTCCACTCTCGACAGAGAGACCCCTCCATGCGACTCAAGCAACCCACCGTTGGTTGACGCCTGCCAGGATTCGACGGAGGCACCGGGTATGGGCTTCCCCGTCTTGGAGCAAGACACCACGCCATGCATGAAGACGACGGTGCCATCCGCTGGGGTGTCGAATGTTATGCTGCTGCCGTTGGGCCGGGCCGGGGCGTCAGCTCTCCAAAAGGGGCCGAGGATGGCCGACTCGGTGGGGCCGGTCAAACCTGCTGCCGTGGCGGACTGGTAGGCCATGTTGTCGACGAGGCTGGCCCCTGAGTGTTAGTACCACTGATAGGACATGAATGGAGCAAGCAGCAGGACAAGGTATTCGAGACGAGAAAAGGGGCGAGAACCCACGATTCCAAGCCGATAATGTCGCACAGCAGCTGGCCCTCGTTGCGCTTGCCATCACTCATGCGTCCGGCACGGTTAATTAAGTCAACGGCGGCGAGCCACTCGTCCTGGGTCAGACGGATCTCGCGAGCAAAGTCGTGGACGTGGCGCACGAGGGCAGCCATCACCTCGCGTAGACGAGGCGAGGTGCCAGGCCCGATGGAGGCGATGACATGGTCCGTGAATTCCTGGCCCAGGACTACGGGAGTGGTAAGAGGATCGGGGTCATTGAGTGCGGTGGCAGGCTGGTCCGCATGCGGCGTTGGCGTCTGCATCTGAGGTTCTTCGTTGGGTGCCGTAGATGGTACCGTAGGGGGTGCCATGGCGCTGACAGGAGCAGGCGGAAGCTCAAAATGCGTGGCCGGCAGCAGAGACGGAGAGAGAGAAGGGAGAAAAGAAAGCGGACACGACGGCCATCTTCACAAGACATAACCGCCGCATCAGCGCGGTTCTGGGCAGGTGATGCCGAGAGATATTGGCAAGCACAGACCGCCTGCTCGACGAGATAACACTAATAATCGGGCGCCCGTTAGCCAGCCCTGGGGTCAGGGTCCCATCACCTGGATCGCTGGGGGCCTGACACGGGCAGCCTGGGCCTGCCGAAATGACGCGTTGGTGCAAGAGTGTGGAGGAAAGATGGGGGAGTGGCGGGGGCCCGAGCGAGGCACCAACAGCGAGCCGGCAGGCACAAGTCTATCTAGGCCGGGTCTAGACTTTTATCCAGCGGCACAGAAGGATGTAAGAAGAAGCGTCAGGAAGAGGGGTGCACGTCCAACGTCAGCGGTGGTGTACTGGACTCTCGATTGGCTGGCTGTTGGTGCGAGCAATATGGAACCTATCGAGGATTGGGTGTGGAGCAGGCATGAGGCAGGCAGTCAGGCGGCTCACGGTCAGCGACTCGGCATTCCTCAGCCTCAACAGCTGAGAGTTGAGGCGGCACACTAGAGGTAGGTCTGACCCCAAGTTGGGCGGGTGCACCTGCCAATTGACGGTGTCGTGTGGCCCAGCAATTTGCGGGCTTCGCCGAGTTTTGGCCCGATTGGGCGAAGGGTGGGCACTCTTGAGACAAACAGGGCAGGCGCTAAGGTCGACATGCTCTCGATAGAGGCAACCCCATCTCCATATGCCCACGCAGCTTCCGGCAAGTTCCGGCATCGAGATTTGATCTCATGGATCACTCGGCTTGGCTGATGGGTGTATTCTATGCATAATATTGAGCGACTCCATTCGCATGCGTACGGCTGCAAGCCTCACTCTAAACCCCTACAGAGATGGAGACTATGGTGACTCCCGAGACTGCCGCCAGCCACCTCAACAACAGCACCGCCCTGAAAAAGACGCCCTGAGGAAGACGCCCTGAAAACCTAAACGCCACATATATGCCAGACCAACTAGGCCAGACGAACATCGTCGCCTGGTCCGCCGAACCCGCCCCATGTTGCGTCGTCGCTACCGTTGGGCCTGCTCGCCCGAGCGAAGCCGAACTCGATGCCGTCCAGCTGCACCACGGGCTGCACCACCAACACTTCGGCCCCGTACGCCGCCGACCTCCACCGCTCCGTCATGCCCGGCAGCTCGTCCTCGAAGAAGCTCGGGTATTTGTGCCGCATCCACGCCAAGGCCGCCTTGGACACCTGATCGACGCTGTTGCTGTGCCTCATGGCGAGAAACTCGTCTCTCGCGTCGGCTCGGTGGCCGTTCGTGACGCCATTAGCACCGCGATGGCCGTTGATGCCGTTGGAAGACGCCGGCGACCACTGGAGCAGCATCTTCTGCACCTCCTCTGGGTAGCGGCCCATCCTGAACAGCAAAAGATCGTGGTGGAGGAGCGAGACGCGGCCAAGCCAGGACCCTCCCTCTGTCGCCCGCCGATACAGGCCCGTCAACGCGGCGATGGCGCCCATGCAGCCTGTGCCATAGTCCGAGATGGGAAACGGCGGCACCACGGGCTCATCCAGGCCCATGAAACGACCCTGCTCCCACGCGACTCCACTGACCTGTTTGTTCCCAGACCCAACCGTTGTTAGCACGTGGCATAATCATACAAGAACGAAAGGGATGCCGAGACGGCGACCGAAACTTACACAGTCGGCAATCTGCTGCCAGCCCGGCCGATGGCGCCACTCGCCATCGTGGCCAAAGCAGTTCTCGCTCACGTATACAAATCCGCGCCCGCGCTTCTGGGCCAGTACCGACAGCTTCTCCGGGCCGTATCCCAGCCGCTCGATGGCGCCCGGCCGGTACCCGTCGACGACGACGTCGGCCTCGGCCAGCAGAAGCTCGAATTGGCTGCGGCCGGCCTCGGACTTGAGATCGAGCTCGGCGGTGCGCTTGCCCATGTTGCTGTCGACCTGGAAGAAGGGCACGTCGCTGAGGGCCGGCGCCGTTATCTTGAGCACGTCGGCCCCGTACTCGGCCAGGGTGCGCCCGATGATAGGCCCCGCAATGATGCGACTCAGCTCCAGCACCTTGATTCCGGCCAGTGGCCGAGCCCTGGTGCCGTTGCTACTGCTACTGCTGCTGGCGGCGGGGAGCGGACAGGGTGGGGTCTCCGACTCAAGCTGGTCGACGCTCCAAGGTGGGAGCCTCATGTTTACCGTGCCCTGTTCTCGGTCAGCGGGGTGATCCATCTCTCTCGGTCAGCAGGAGAGGAGAGGCAGAGTGGTCAGTGTCACGAACATGGGCCGTCTTCAGAAATTCATCATGCCTCAAGGCAGGGACGCCCGCTTGGCGGTTCTTGGCGTTGAGCTCCTCGAGCTCGGCCGGCGTGAACAGCTTGACGTGGGACTCAATCTCCTCCACGATGGCCTCATGGCCGAGTGCGCTCAGGTCGGGACGGAAAGGTTTCAGTTCCAGCATGGAGAGCGTCGTCGAGGCCTCGAGCGAGCCGTGGATGTGGTAGTACTCTCCAGGCCGCGCCGTCGCGTACAGGTTCGCCGACATGCGCCGGTACGGGTCCGACTGGGCCCTCAGCAGGTCCGTGTCTATTTTCAATCACGAAGCCTCGCCGCAAGTGCGGCCGGGACTGTGTCAGCAAGAATTGCGGCCGTCGATTCCACCAGGGCCCTTACCTTTGAGGAATTCCTTGACGTTAGGGTCCAGCTTGCTCAAGCCCCCTATGCTAGACAAGTATGTCTGGAACAGGAAAGCGGTTGTCCGCTCCAGGTTGACGGTGATCTTGTTGCTGCCTCCATGCTGCAATGCGACGGGCTGGCGGTCCCGCGTGTCGGCCAAGGCACGTGCGAAGCTGCCCTCGATGGCCTTGAGTGCCGCTCCGAGCTCCGTCTCCTTCAAGGGGATGGGGAAGTAGGGGAGGTCACGCGAAGACACAAAGCTGGCGGCCCTTGCGATGTCTTCAACCTCGGGCGGGAGCGACACCATTCTCAGGATGCGCTCGAGTATTGCCCTCGCTTCCCGCGTGGAGGAGAACCCGACTCTGGAATCGGGTACTGTCTGGACGGCCATGGCTGACGTATGAAGGTGATGACTTGCGAAAGCAAGGGCTGGTTGGTCACCGTTGGTGGGGGGCTAGTTGTCGGCTGTCCCTTATCTAGGCTGCACGAGAGGTAATGAATGACGCCAAGTGGGGGAAACAATGAGGTGGGATATGGAAGGATGGTCTAGGCTTCTTGAATGGTCTGGAGTTTAGATCTAGCGAATATGTCGTCGTCGGGGCAGTCGGTGGCCACCTGGCTACATATATATCAAGCCGTGGATCGGTGAGACCCTCGCTGGCAGGCCCCCTCCATTGATGAGCAAGTGTTCCCTAGCAGGGCTACGAGGCCCAGGTCAGGAGCCCATCAAAACCCAATCACTCAGGGACATCGGATAAGATGAGGCGGATGACGGATAGGGACCCATGCATTGGGACATCTCGATGGCGGCCGTCGGGCAAAGGCAAAGGAAGGAGCAGTGGGGCCCAGGCTCAACCAAAGGGATGATGTGGTGCGACTTCCGATGGTGCAGTAGCTTGATTAAGGTTTTTTCTTTTATCTTTTTTTTTTTCTTTCATTTTTCTCTGTGCCTCTTTTTTAGTGCTTGCCGGGAGCACGTTCCCCCTATTCAGTGGCCAAGGTTGGTACGTACACAGACATCCAAAGGGGCTTGGCGGGTATCAATGTTGAGAAGCCATCGGCGTTTGGCATCTGTCGCCGGGAATGTCTGCAGCAAAGGGGGCCACCCCGGAGGCGTGCCCCGGATACAGCGGGTGTGGTACCGCATACTCGGTGTCGAATTGGGACCCATGCTGGGGTTCTTGGGTGACTGCTGGGAATTTGTTTTGCCACGCCATTGACATGTAAACCAAATCCCCCCGAACTTCCCTGTTGGCCGATACGGGGGCCGGATCGATCGTCAGGCCAGGGGGCTCGATGATGGGACTTGATAGAGCGCACAGCTGTGGCTCGGCAAAGGGCACGCGTATGGCTTCCGGTCTTCTTTCCGGGGCATCCACCGCGTGTCTCACACTATTATGCGACACCAAGCTAGCCCGTCGGCAGCCCTGGCGGCCTTTTTTTGGTGTATTTTTAGGAAACGCCTTGGTGATGTGATATGTCACTGGACACGGGTGAGCATATCAGGTGAAGAAACAAACGAGAAAACCAAGCGTTTTGGGTAAATGTCAACAAAGCTGGTGGCCGCTGCAAAGAGTGGGAACCACGATCAAGCACAATTACCTCAAGTACCTTGTTCTCCACCGATAGGCGGGTGCAACCCCCACGTCAGCGGGCACGAGGTGTGTCTAGCTTTTTTTTTCTTTTTCTTTTTCTTTTTTTTTTTCTTTTTCTTTTCTTTTTTTTTCTTTTTTTTCCTTTTTCTTTTTTTCCTTTTCCGCCTGGTGCTTTTTTTCTTCCTTCCCCCTCCTTCCGGGCCCCGAGCCCGCGGTCCAGGCGTTCGTGTTTTTTTAAGGTTCTTGACGGATGGCACCCCACCAAAGGGCAGTTAAAAAGGGAACCGGGGCCCCATCGAGATGGATCTCACTGGCGTTTCCCAGGTGGGTTATTTTTACCTGTTGAGGAAATTCCAGGGCGACCAGAAGGCGAAACGCAGGCGCAACCGTACACGGACAGAACAGACGACAAACAAACACACACACAGACCGAAGCGAGAAATGCGATCGGGCCAGCGATCTGCATAAACCTGCCCCGAACGTCAACTTTCGCCTGATCCATACCTTCAATGCGGGACGCTGCCCTCCCCTGCCAACGACAAGTGCCGAATGGGACGGTTTAAGAGATGGTGGCGTTGGTGATGCCTGCAATTTAGTCGGGAGGATTTGAAATTGGTGGTGGCAGCAAGAAGGGGGAAGGAAGAAACAGACAGGAAAAGAAAGCGAAAACGAGCGTCAATGCTGATTTCAGACGCCGGTGACCAGAGCGAGCCCGACATGGAAGGAGAACGCGAGCAAACGGGCCGATCCGCATGGCCTTGGAACATGCGGCGTGCGCCCTCGGGAGAATGAAGGCGGGTGACAAAATTCCCTGCCTTCATTGGGAGGACGTTCCCAGGCGGGCAGGTGAGCGTTCGTGATGGCGGATGAACATTTCTCTGTGTCGCAAAAAGAACCCACCGCGACGGGGCACGGCGGCGGGTGAACGTTTTCGCATGACGACATGGCGACATGCCCCTAGACGCACACCGAGCCACAGAACTGGAACCGACGCAGCCCTCACAGCCCTGTGCCGGCGCTGCGGTGCTACCTGCTGCGATGCCACCCCGGCCCGCTGCCCGGACATGGCCGACGGGCAGTTTCTGTGCATGACATTCTTAAAGGGCAAGCCTTCCCTATTTCAACCTCACGGGTTTCTTAGCTGGTAGCATTCGGCCTAGCAACCTGCCTCTCTCGAGTCAGCCGCCCTGCCATGGAGGTTGGGGGTTGGGTGGGTGCTGCGGGAGAGGATGGCCTAGGCCAAACCCGATGTGACGCCAGCCCATCTCATCCGATCGCCGACAACGGGCCCCCGGGCCCGATTCCTCCGAGATCGACGGAGGTGGAGTTGGACGCCAATCGTCGAGCAAAACGCCGTCGAGCGCGCAGTTTTAGCCGTTGGTCGGGATCCGTGGGCCGAAGAGTGTTGGACCAGCACACCCCGGCCTGGCTCTTTCCTGCCCACCGGTCAAGACCCTTATCATCCCTCACAAATTCTCAGACCGCCCTTGCCCATTCCGTTCATCACACAGATTTGCACCAGCACGATACCATCTCACGTCGTCGTCACAATACAGTTTGCCGAAACCGTCATCTCGTCTCTGGGTGGACGGCATCCGTCATCAGCCCATGCCGGCAGAAACCGCCAACAGCCCTCCAACATGTTCCGGCCGTGTATTCGACCCCTCCGCCAGCGGCACAGCAAGAAAAAGTATTTTAACGGCGCATGCGGGAAGGAGGGGCACTCGAGGGTAACAGTCCCTCCTCACCGAAACCCGCTCTGCAGACGCGCGCCAGGAAATAACCCGTCGAGAGGCCACAGCGGCATCGGGACGAGTCGCTTACCAGCCTCATTACTCGCACCCCGGCCGGGATAAACCCCGGATAAAAGAGAGGGTTGTAGTTAGTGCAGCGCTAGAAAGGGGTTGAGAGAAAAAGAAGGGGAAAAGGAGGGAAGACAAGAAATTAGAGACAATTGGCTCGGGTTGAGGAAGGGGTGGGTAGTCAGATAAGCCAAGGGACAAAAGTATAAAAAAAAGGTAAAAATATTAGCACGCGAACAAACATGACATCACCGCCAACGGCTCCCCGAACCGCAGATCCGCCAGCGCCCACGTCTCCTCCTCCTCCCTGTCCTCCTCCTCTGACGTCGGCGGCGGCAGAGTTCTCGCGCCCGCCCACCAAGCCCTTCGACGTGGGCATCGTGGGCGGGGGCATCGCGGGCGTGGCGCTGGCGCTGCAGCTCCTGCGGCACGGCGTGGCCGCCACCGTGTACGAGCAGGGTGCGTGCTTCGCCGAGGTGGGCGCCGGCATCTCGCTCGGCCCCAACGCCGCCCGCGCCCTTGAGCTCATCTCGCCCGCCCTGCTGGCCGCCGCCGCGGGGAGGGCCGCGCGGCCGCGGAGGGGTGCTGATGACGACGACGTCTGGTTCGACCTTCGGCTTGGGTGCTGCCCGTATGAAAGGGGTGGTGGTGGTGGGGGCGGCGCTGCGGCAGGGACGGGTGGTGAAGCAGGAGAGCGGGGAGGAGACGCAGAATCAGGAGCAGCAGCAGCAGCAGCAGCAGACCCGCCGCCGCCCGTGATCCTCCGCCTGCGCTGCAAGGGCGGCCAGGTCTCGATGCTGCGCGCGCACCTGCTCGACGAGCTGGCGGCGCTGCTGCCGGTCGGGGCGGCGCGCATGGGCCACCACGTCGTTGACTGCCAGCCCCAGCCCGGCGGCGCCGGCGGTGTGGTACTTAGGTTTGCGCACGGCGCCGAGGCGCGCCACGACGCCGTGGTGGCCTGCGACGGCATCCGGTCGCTGGTGCGGCGGTGCGTGCTCGGCCCCGACGACCCGGCCTCGTCGCCCGTCTTCTCGGGCAAGTACGCCTACCGCGGCCTCGTGCCGCTCGACGCCCTCCACGACGCCCTGGGCGGGGAGGAGGAGCTGGACCCGGGCCCGCAGATGTATCTAGGGAGGGGCGGGCATGTCATTGCGTACCCGCTGTGGGAAGCCGGAGTGATGAATAGTAATTAACCCGGCCCCTGTGTCTCTGACCCTTCTCCCTTTTTAGCGCTAACACTTCTCCCTCCCCCAGTCGTCGCCTTCAGCAACACTCCCTCGTGGCCCGACCAGTCCTGGGTGGTCTCGCGCACGCGCGACGAGATGCTCGCCGACTTTGCCGGCTGGCACCCGCGCGTGCGCCTCTTCCTCTCGCTCATGGGCCCCTCCACCAGCGCCTGGGCGCTCTTCGACCACGGCGTCCCCGCCGCCTCCTTCTGCGACGGCCGCGTCTGCCTCGCCGGCGACGCCGCCCACGCCTCCACTCCGCACATGGGCGCCGGCGCCGGCGTCGCCCTCGAGGACGCCTGCGTGCTCGGCGCCCTGCTGGGCGACCCCGCCGTCCGCCACGCCGCCGACGTCGAGGTCGCCTTTCGTGTGTTTGACGCGCACCGCCGCGCCCGCGGCTTGCGCGTAGTCGCCGACAGCCGCGTCCAGGGCCGCCTGTACGGGCTCGAGCTCGACGGGGATGTAGATGCGGACCCGGCCCGGGTGGTGGAGAGCCTGCGCGGCCGCATGCGCTGGCTGTGGGACCACGACCTGGACCGGGAGCTGGACGAGGCGCGTGCCGACTTGCGGGGCCTGCTGCTGGGCAGACGGGACGGGCTGTCGGCTGGGAATCAGGGGCAGGGAGATCTCGGCGTCCATGTCAGCCCAACCGGAAGGTTGTGATGGATTCGAGGAGGGCTGGTGACTCTGGTGGATGTCGATAGTGTAATTGTATATTTGAAGACGAAGCGACCATCATACGGCACGCCAACTCTCTGCTCCTGTTCTCGCTCCATGGCGAAGGCTAACATGATATACACACCGCCATGGATCTCGCTAGACAACATGGCACGAAATCCCATCCCATCGACCACACGGTCCCCGGGACGGGGCACGCCGAGCCGGCCTCGCAGATCGGCACGCATCTAGCCACGGTCGGCTACGGCGTGACGATGCGTCGGTCGCGGGACTTACGGCCCCGGATCGAAGCTTCAGGGGTGCGATTCCACCCGCCGCACGGCATCGTCCCCTCTGTGCTTGAGAAACTCAGCGATAGCCTCGTGCCCCTTTTCCGCGGCTATGCGCACCGGCGTTTTCCCATCCTTATTTTTTGCCTCCTTTTCGGCGCCCGCCTCCACCAGCAGCCTCGCAACCTCCTCGTTCCCCCCTTTTGCGGCCAAATGCAACGGCGTTTCCCCATCGACGTTTTTGGCCTCTTTTTGAGCGCCCGCCTCCATAAGCAGCCTCGCGATGGTCTTGTTCCCCTTTTTTGCGGCCAAATGCAACGGAATATGCTCCCAACGATCTTTCGCCTCCATATCAGCGCCCGCCTCAACCAAAAACCTCGCGACGGGCTCGTTCCCCCTTTTTGCGGCCAAATGTAACGGCGTTTCCCCATCGATGGTTCTTGCCTCCCTTTGAGCGCCCGCCATTAAAAGTAACCTCGCAATGGCTACTTGCTCCCCCGTCGCCCTTGTTGTGGCGAAATGCAACGGAGTATGCTCCCGATGATTTCTCGCCTCTATATCGGCGCCCACCTCCACCAGAAACCTCACGACGAGTCTGTTGCTGCTTCTTGCGGCCAAATGTAACGGCGTTTCCCCATCAACGTTTTTGACCTCTCTTTGAGCGCCCGCCTCTGTAAGCAGCCTCGCGACGGTCTCGTTTACCTCTTGTGCGGCCAAATGCAACGGCGTTTCCCCATCAACGTTTTTGGCCTCTTTTTGAGCGCCCGCCTCCATAAGCAGCCTCGCGATGGTCTTGTTCCCCTCTTGTACGGCCAAATGCAACGGAGTATCCTCCAGATAATCTTTCGCCTCTATATTGGCACCCGCCTCCACAAGCAACTTCGCGACGGCCTCGTGCCCAGCTTCCGCGGCGTGGTGTAGCGGCGTTTTTTGTATGTGGTTTTTCGCCTCTATGTTGGCGCCCGCCTCCACAAGCAGCCTTGCGACGGCTTTACGCCCCATTTTCGCGGCCCAATGTAGTGGCGTTTCTTTATTATGATCGGCGCCTGCTTCAGCACACAGCCTTACAGCGGCTTCGTGGCCGTTTTCCGCGGCCAGGTGTAGCGCCCGCATGGTTTGGCCCCTATGACTGTCCAGAAGAAGCGCCATCACCCCCTTTCCACTGCTCTGGTTCCTTGCTACTGCTTCGACCACGTCCGTTGTGATCTGGATTTGGCCCCTTAGCTTTTCCAGAAGAAATATCATGACGTCTTCGTCATACGACGCTGCAATTTCTTGGACCAATTCCGGTGTGATTTCGGACTGGTCTCGCCTCTCTAGGAGAAGTATCATATCCTCCTTTCCAATCTCTTGCTGAGGGGGCATCTCAAGGCGGCTTTCTGGCAGCAGTATCTCATCGTGTAGAGTCGGCTCAGCCGGCGATGCAGGCCGGCTAGGAGGTAATGACGACAGATCTCCGAGATACTTGGGCGAGTCCTCTGATTGATCTCCATGGGAAAACTCAAGATCGGTATCGAGTGTGCTCCGGTGTCTATGAGTCCCGTCGCTGCTGGCCTCCTGGGCGCTGGAGAAGGAGCGGTAATCAGACTTGGTGGCAGCCCTCTTTACCGCCAGTCGCACCGTAAGCAAGGCAAGAGACTGCATGTGCTCGGCAATATGGTCCAGAAGGCTGTTCTTGTATGTCAATGCCGTGGATGATGGTGCCACATCTGCTAACCTTTGAGGGGCTTCATCCAGATGCTCGCTGGCTGTGGCGGGATGCGAAGCCGCAGCGTCAAATCGCACCGATTTTTTGGCATTCTTTGTCCCGAGGTCCGATGCAGACAGTTCTTGTCTGTGATGGCTCGGCGGTTTCTGCGCTGCTACCGCCTGGCTTGGGCCACTCCCAGGCTCTGTGAGGGGCCGGCAACATATAGGGCAGCTATCAGAGGCTTCGTCGTGAGACATGATGCTCCCGGGCCCCGAAGCGTCCTGACTTTCCTGCATATAGTCGCGCGCCCTGGACACTCTATTTCGGGAGCAGAAGTCGTCGTGGTGTTGCGTAGTGTGCGCCTTCCATTCCGCCCTGCTTGCGTATCTGCAGGATTCCGAACACACTTCGACAAGGCAAACAAAGGGGGTGAGATCGTCGTTTACATGCTGCCTAACATCTCGCACTTCAGCTGGGTTCTACTTGTCCATGGCGCATTAGAGTAGGACATGTGCCTACCTCCACCACACGACGTCGTCGAAGCTGGTCCCTGGGAACATCTTCCGACAAAGGGGGCACGGCAAGCTACTCCCCCCACCCTGCAACTTGGGGGGCTTTGGAAACCTCGCCTTGGTTCCTAGAACAGTCGATGCGCCCGCTCTCCGTCGGACCGGAACATTACTTTCGTAAAATGGGATAACGACATGGGAAGCCGGATTAGATGGTATAGTGTCGGACAGCAGGTCGGTTCCAAGCGACACCTGGCTTTCCTCGGGCTTTGGGGGCCTAGAAATTTCCGACTTGGTTGGCGTTTGTGACCGGTACAGCGTTGCAGGTGGCCTCTGGGGGAAGACTTCGCGCTGCACAGGTACACTAGCCTCCCTGCGACGGTCGAGGCGCAGTTTCCTGTCATGATACTTCCAGTACAGAAGCCTCGCGTACCGGTCTGTCATGGCCTTGCCTAAGAGGCGACGGATGCTATCGGTAGAGTCTGGGTAAAGATGCTTGACGGTAAGCATTGCCAAGGTCTCAAACGGGGCTATTTCTGCAGCCTTCCTGGCCGCAAACGCTTGGACTCGGGCGTCAAAGGACGAAGTGGGAGATAGTCGGATGTGGATCGCCAGTCTGCCAAGCTCATTAACAGACTTCCAGACGCCATCTAGCTCGATTTTCCGTCGGTCCGTTTCGCCATCCGAGGACTCGTCCGACTCGGAGTCATCGGGGTTGGTGCTCACTAGGGCATTACAAATAGGTAGTCAGCACTACGGACTCATTCATATCGGCGGTAGCAGTGAATAGGCTGTCGTACTTTGAGCCAGGGACATGTCGAGCATGTCCAAGGCCAGAAGAACAAGGTCGCGCTGCTGTGCATGGCGGCCAAGACGGTGGTCGAGGCTCGCGCTGCCCCGAGCGAAGACTCCTAGGTACCCTCTCCAGTCGAGGAACTTCGCTTCAAGCCGCCGCAGCTCGGTGGCCGTCTTCTCCTCGCCGTTCAATTCCAGTCGACGGATGCATCTTGAAAAACTCGCCTCGCAGTTTTCTGTAGTCGCCGCGATTGGCGCTCTATCCTGATCGCTGCTTCCAGGCAAGATGTCGTCGGCAATGCGAGGATGGTGGGAGACGCTGGTCATCGTCGCGTCGGCCGAGTTAACCAGCAAGCTGTGCTGCCATTGACTATGAGTGGCCACGGTATTGCACAAGATTGGCGAAGTCAAGCGTCGCCAACATGGAACAAAGGTCAGGCCTTCAATCCAGTAAAGGCTGTCAAGGTCTGCCTTAACTGAACCTGATCAAGGTGGTATGGCGGGGCTGAGGGAAGGCTCGGCCATGCATCCTTTTTGGGCGGGCGGGCTGTCTACCCCTCCATCCGGACACAAACGCACCTCTGCCCGAGGCACCGGCGATCCGGCCCTTCTTTAACATGGGGGAAAGAGCTGACGAGAAGATCCGAGTATCACATCGCTCCTGGAATGGTAGCAACTGACGCCGAAAAAACAACATCGGGCAGATTGACGTCGCTGGTCTCCATACTTCGGCTCTATTAACTTGGACATCTCCGAGTCACTGCCTAGTTCGCTTCCCAAGCACTTGGAGCGAGTCTTCCAGGCCGGTTCTCGGCCTACTTGGCCGGCGACGTCATGCCTTTTGACGGCGCGTCTCCTGACAGCGGAGGCATCCGCGAGTCTGTCGAATGGAATTTGATCTCTCAACTGCGAGAGTGCAGTCAGTCAGTCATTCGGCAGCCGCTCCAGGGGCGCCATCGCTCCGTCGCCAGGAGCACTCGGGTCCATAAGCTATGGACTGCTTTGAGGGAGCTCCACATCCACATCCGCACCACCTTTACGACCCTACAGCTTGAGCTACTGCTCCAGTCCGACTTTGATGAGGAGGCCGATTGGGGCAGCGACTCGGAGTCGGACGGAGATGACCTGTCGTCCGAGGCAAGCGCAGCCTCCTTCCACACGGCTTGGGATAGCCAGAAAAGAAAATACGGCAGCGGCTATCCCGACGAGTGCTTCGCCCAGCTCAAACTCCTCTGCTCCCTTCTCGAGGCGAGGGTCAATCCAGTTCTCGTTCCCCTGGCAAGCCCAGCAGCGGGCCTTCAACCCTTTACATATCCCAAACTTGCGCATCTGGTCGAATACTTAAAGTCCTCAGCGGCCGCTCCTCATTCACGAGATGATGACATAGGATTTATTCCCCTGCCAGGACCAGGCACTGCACGCTTTCTCTTCAATGTGTTGACATCGGATCGAGTCGAGACATCAGAGGCATTCGTCTCCATCTGCGAATCGTCGTCCTCCCGCTGGCGACCCCCGAAGGAGATCCGGAAGCGGATGGAGATCGATGTAGAGTACCTGAACGAGCAGATCCTCAACTTCATCATTTTCGTCAGCACCCTCAAGGTTTCTCCGGGGCTATTGGAGACCCTAGCCTCGCGGCCGATTGCGCCAGCCTCGGCGTCCACCGTGGATTCGTTTCCAGAGTCAAGTCACACGCCTGCTCCTATAACTGCCAACTCGTCAGCCACCTCTTTTGCCGCCCTCCAGAGTTTTCGACAGCAAATAGCCGCAGCGGTCCGAGCCATATCGCCACACTTTCTATTTTGCGAGGGAGAGAAGAAGCGAGGGAAGCACAGATTCCTCCTCCAGCTGCCCAGCTGGGAGGATGTATCGGGTCGCCGCCACATAACGACGGACGCTGCACCAGCGGTCCAGTTCTTCTTTACCGGGTGTAGCCACGATGGCTGGCAATATGCCAACATACGCATGCTCCAGTAAGTACACTGGCACGCCCACCACGGAAAATGTCAAATTGTATTCGTACCACAAGCTTTTTTACTCTTATTGTCATTCCTGTTTTTATTCCTCCTGTTGCTCCTATTGTTCCTTTTATTACTTTTCCTGCTGTTATTATTCTTACTATTATTCTTCCTGTCCCTATTCCTGAAAAAAACTGTGGCTGGCAAGACAAACCCATCCTTTATGCTACTTACAGTATACCTTTTAGCTAACATCGACCAGATCGGACAACCCTGCTCCCCAGTGCAGACCTTGCAAGCCAAAGCTTTGCAAAGCCCTCATTAGTGCGTACGAGGATGACAGGGACCTCGAAGTCTACGTCTCCGGAACCCAGGAGCGAGCTGATGGTCGTACTGAGATGCCGCCGATACACATCCCTCTGGTGCCCGGCGAAGGTCAAAGATACGGCAGGAGCGCCCCCGGGAACGATCTCTCGGCGTTGATCGAGTGCAAGTACTTCGCAAAGGAGCTTTCTATGGATCTGATGGACCGCGCAGGCTACGGAGCTACCGTTTTTACTGTCGAGCAGCGGCGGGCGCTGGCCGTCAAGCTCGTGCTAGGATTAATGTTGTCCATGAACTCCGACCATGCCGTCAACACTTGGGAGCCGAAAAGAATACGGTTTCTGGAGCCCTTGGATGCAGAGTGCACCCCCTTCATCGCTATGGACAGTGACGAACCAAACGCTGCCGAACGCCACTGGGACTACGTTTCGCTTGCCGATCTAGATGCTGTCGTCGATTCAGGAACCGAGGACGACGATGCTGGTGACCCGAAGCCCCTACCTCCCTTCACCATGCTAGCCAAGTCACTGCTACATATTGCCGGACAGGAGATGGGAAGCTTTCGAATCCTTCGCACCAAATCTGGTGGGGACTTCCATGAAAGTCGGAGGCGACTCCGGCGGACGCTGACAGAATATACGAAGCGGGTCACTTGTGGCAGGGAGGTCGACCTCGAAGCTCTCCCTTTCCTATACGCGGCCCAAAACTGCCTCAAATTTCACACGCTTTACACCGCCCAAAGCATACTGGCGCATGGCAGACCACGAATGGAGATCGCTTGGCAGCTCGTATTCGACGAAATCCTCGCCAAGATTGATAGCAGTTTGCGCCAGAGGAGCTGTGATGCTCAGACCGTAACGGTCCAACCTGCCTACCAACCTAATGTGGCCAGTCGAAGCCCAATGCGCGAGTTTACCTTCTCTACTACCTTGCATAAACACTGCAATCCCAGCTCCCCGCCACGCAATGCGTCGGCCCTTCCCGAAGTCGCATTATTTGATGGGTTAGATGTCACCAACCCAAGGTCAGACCCATCCCCTTCATTTGCCATTACCCAATAACATAAAAACTGCCGGACAGGCTTTAAGATCTAACCCGGTCACATGCTACAGAGAAGCCGGCAACGCCGATGTCTTCCTCAAAAATCTCGAGGTCTTCCATGCATCCTACTCGCGCTTCGTTGAGCCCCATAATGTCTCGAACTCTACTAGGGAAGAACACCCTCGACGAGTTCGAATAGCCGTTCTCGACACGGGCGTCGACTTCCGCCACCCTGGAATCATGGCCGCGAAGGTCGACGGCCGCATCCGGGAGGAATGGTGTCACAGCTGGGTGGGGGACATGGCCGACGAGGACGACGAGATGCACGGCTCTAACTGCGCCGACCTCCTCCACCAAGCGGCGCCTGAGGCAGACATCTACATTGGCAAGGTCTTCCAGCGAAACAAGTTCAGGACCTACCAGGCGGAGAATATCACAAAAGTAAGTGGCCCCACGACATAACACCAGTAAGCCGCCCATGCCCACCACAAAAAAGATGAAAGTTTTACAAATTTCAGGGATTAGAACTGTTGATGCTATGGACTTTCCTACTGTTATTCTTCTTATTTTTTCCCTGTTGTTATTCCTTTTACTTCTATTGTTCGTCTTGCTATTCCTGTCGTTATTTCTGGCCATTCCTCTTCTTACTTTTACAGTACTTGTAGCCTTTTTATTGTTTAAGCATGTTTAGCTGCCATCATATTTTGGTGGGCGTGCCACACCATCGCAATACCAATCTCTAAAAGGGTTAAGCTGACTTTACTTGGCACGTCAAACAGGCCATCCGACACGCTGCAGAGATTTGGAAAGTAGATATCGTTTCGATGTCGTTCGGCCTGCAGCCCCCAGTTCCGAGTGAGGAGGACGACCAGCAAGCAGAGCAAGCAGCCCTGGAACACTACAATTCCCTGGTTGAAGGCATCGAGGCCGCAGTCAAAGGAGCATCATCCACAGTCACCATGTTTGCAGCAGCCTCCAACGGCGGCAAAAACGTCAGACGAGCATTCCCAGCCACCTTAAGCCCCTGGGTAATCGCCGTCCACGCCTCAGACGGAATCGGTGGCGCCGGCGGCATTAACCCACCCCTCCAGGCCGGCGACAACTTCATGACCCTCGGCATGGACGTGGAGATGATGCGGAGGGAATGGAATGACAGCGGCGGGAGGCTGCGGCCGAAGTACAAGTCTGTGAGAAGGAGCGGGACCTCGTTCGCGACGCCCATCGCCGCCGGCCTCGCCGCCACAGCCATGGACCTCTCACTTCGCGTGGACCTAGTCACGAGGCGTACGAGGGAGCAGCTGCGCCAACCCGTTGAGATGGCCAAAATGCTGCGGCTCATGTCGACGGGTGGAGCGGCCGACTCTGGTGGGTACCGCTACGTGGCGCCGTGGCACCTGTGGAGGCCAGGCTGGCAGGCTGATGACGAGAGATCGCGGCATATATGGGACACTATCAACCTGGAATTTCGGGCGCACCGGAATTAGCACGTAAGGAGAGTAATCTTTGCGATATAAGCGTTTCCCATGCAGATTTCAAGGATTAGTGTAGCGAGTGCTGTGGCCTTTACGTTGAGCTTTAAATCAATATAGTATTTCTCTTCCTGCTCCTTTTCCCGCCTTTATTTTTTTGTTTTTATAGACGCCATTCCACCGCATACGCAATCCTAGTCCCTGAGGCCTGCACAAAACTGTACTGATCATTTCTTAGTATTTTAAAGCTTTCCCTATATCCCTCTCCTGCTCACTGTCCTCCTACTACGGACTTGCAGATGTAGGCGAAAGCCAAATGACAAACTCCCCTTCAACCAAAGTATCGTCTTCGACTACTGTTTCGTATCCCAGTGTCTCATCATCTCTGTATTTCAGCCCCTTAAGGGGACCCTCCCCCGTCTCCACATCCTCACCAAGAGTTGCCCCCACGACGTCGAGCTTGTCCTGCCGAACCCCTCGCTTGTCCCACCAGATCTTGCGAGCTCGTATCCCTAGCACGAACGGGGTCGACCCGTCGAAGCGCGACGCGAGGCCGTCCTCGCTGCCGTACGAAAGCTGCAGGCCCGCCGTTCCGGAGGTGGCAATCTCGCTCTTCAGCTGCGTCTTTGCGGCCCTGACCTTGGAGAGGGAGGCACCCTCAGCCCACATCAGACCCGTGATCATCCACACGGGCCTCTTGAAGTTGCTGCGCTGGACGTACATGGCCACGCTGTCCGTCTCGAGGGCAGTCTTCATGTACTCGAGGGTCGGGTTGAAGTAGCGCACGTACAGCTTTTGGACCGTGATCGTTTCGTCGTTTTTCCGGTCGCGCAGCGCCGAGAACGAGGGGCCCAACCCAGCCCAGCCGAAGATCTTGGCCCAGATGCCGCCCTTGACATGGCGGAGGTGGTTCAGGGAGCAGGTGAACCCCTCTTTTTCCGAGGCGGACTTGTCCTTGGGGAAGACGAGGGAGTCTGACACGGGTGGCGCCTCGCCGCCGTCGAGCGGGCTCAGCATGCTATCGAGCTGGAGGTTCTGTAGCACTGACCCGAGCCGGAGGTGCCCACCCGGTGGCGGGTCGATGCTAAAGTCTGGGCAGAGGTGGAACGAGGGCTTGGAGCTAAAGGTCGTCGCCATGGTGCCTTCTTGTTTTAGACTAGGAGAATAAATCGGGTGTGGGCATGGCCCAGCCGGGCTTGATGTGTTGGGCACCCCGCAATCTTCACCCTTACCGTTCGCAACGAGGGGCTCCCTCTTTCCTATTTGCTATTCGACTTCCCACGGCCACCTTCTCTCGGATTTACGGCTCCCTATCCTATTAGCTTTTCGCATTCTATTCTTATTTCAATTGTGTTCCTACCTTTATATTTATTCGTCGCGTTCCCATTGCTAAACCTTTGTCCACTTATCCACCATACTCATCAGCCATTTCTCCCGAGCCGCACGCAGCTCGCTGCTCCGCCTCCAGCCTCGAGGGCATCCGCGCGTGAGTCCTGCAGCGCGAAACCTACTTCCCGCAATGCCCTTGCCAACACGCTCCCGGACTGGTTTTTCTCTGCTTGCAGTACCTTTTTTAGGAACAGCACTTTTGCTTGACACTAGCGTCGAAGCGTTGCGGTATGTCGCTTCCTTAGACGAATGGCGGGGCTCATCTTCCCCAACCCGGGGGAGAAGGATCCTCCCGTTCCAGCAGACAGGCAAGGGCTTGAAGAGCTTGAGTGGCTAGTGTGGTTACACAGCTTTCTGCATGGAACCCAATCGGCTCAAACGGTTGCCAGGAGATCACACCTCGAGATATCCCCCGTTAATTTGGCCAGGCTTTGTCCGGGCTGGCGGATGGGCGGCTGTCAGAGTTTGGTGCATGCTTTCTTTGTTCTTGTTTTTTTTTTTTTTTTTTACATGTGCCTTTTTTTCCTGTAATTAACAATTCAGACTAACGTCTATAGGACTCTTCCCCCACCAGATCCTCAAGCTTAAACCACGGTGATCGTCTTCTCCTCCCACGCCTCCTGCTCGTGATTGAGCCAGTCATTAACCTCGTGGATAAAGGCGCCGATCCGCTCGTACTTGCCGCCTTCAACCTCCCGCAGCAGCAGGCCAGAATAGCACGTTACCTCCCACCGGTTTCCATCCACGATCTTCCAATCGTTCATAAACGTCAGCAGCGCAAACACCCTCTCGGGCGGCTTTTCTACTGCCTCTTCGATCTCCACTATCCGCTCGGGATAATCATCTACTCCCTGCAAAAGCTGCGAGTACCAATCCCAGAGAGTTTTGTTGCATTCCGGCGCCAGCCTCAAAACATCCTGGCACCTGAACAGAAAGATAGCATCTTCCCTACCGACCTCCTTAAACGGCCCGCCAATCTCCATAAAGCCCCCAGCCACCTCTCCAAAGGCAGTGTGCCCCAACGCTGGTGTTGCTTCGCACGCGTACACCGTCGCGAGAGGTAGAGCATCAGCTCCAACGCGCCCGATTTCAATGGGGGCGTCGACGCTCGCCCACGACCATGACGGCGCCCGGCTCCCGACCGGCCGGGGCAGCCACTCACGCGCATGAGTGTAAAACATGGCGTCGTACAGGAGGTTGTTGCGCCAGAGACCCGCGACGTACCCGGCGCCCGTCAGCTGGCTTATCTGCTCGGCGATGCACCCGATGGCGGGGAGGCGGTCCGAGGGCAGGCTGAGCTTGCGCCGGGTGTAGTCGTGCAGAAGTTCCCTCCAGACGTCGTGCAGCTGGACGGTCGTCCGCAGATCGGCCCTCGATTTCTCCGACCGCAGCAGCGCGCTCGCCAGCTTGCGCGTGCTGGGCCCCGTCCTTGGGTGCTCGGGATAGTAGCTGCCATCGCTGTGGGTGGCGCGGCGGCAGCGCCAGGTGGGCCAGCGGCCGTAGGACAGGTATCGCGGAGAGACGACGAGCTCCTGCAGGCACCACGCACGCGACGAGGTCGCATCGTACCAGTCGCGCTCGCAGCCCATTTCCATGATGAGGTACAGGGTGCCCACCGCGACGCGGGGCGTTTTGAAGATGTCCTCGAGGGTTTCTGCTTTCGCAACCGCCTTCATATCCGGGAGGTGGCACTTCATGGGCACCAGGTTGCGCCAGAGTTTCGTCTCGGCGTCGGCCTTATCCGTGAGGAAGCCATCGTGCACCGAGAAGGCCAACCCGGCGCCAACAGTAACGTAGGCGTTCCTGTAAACCTGAGCCATACGGCCGACCTCGTGGGCTTTGTCGGCTTGGCTGTCTTGGACGATACAGAGCGAATCGATCCAAAGGTACTTGAGCCCCAGGCTGCGGGTAACTCTGACAGCGTCCCTTAATGTTTGGGGCAGGTCATCAAGGGAGAAGCCTGCCAGGAGATCTGGAAGGGTGGCAGCAGTGCATATGTATGTCTGCGCGTCGCCCCAGCAGTAGCTGAGGGCAACATAGTTGCCCGCCTCGGTGGCAAACGTCTCGTGTAGTCTGAGTGTTGGCTTTGACACGTCTATGACCCTACTAGGGAGAGCCAGCGGCTCTTGCGTTCCACACGAGGGGCCGTGGTTTTGAACACAGGTGTCGAGCCATGCCTTCGCTCGCGCCAGGCTATGCTCTGACCCAGGGGAGGGGTTCGGGGGCCGGTGGGTGATGAGAGCCGCAAGCGGGTCGCCTGTTCTCCTATTAGTACTATTGACCTCGGCTGAATTTGACGACACGTTTTTCTCACCTTGAACAGCATACACACCCACGTTCAGCTCCCACTGGTTGAGAATGCACGTGAGATCCTTTGGCTCGCGGCCCTTGAGGTCCGACACCCCGATCTGCAGCGCATCGAAATTAGGAAGCGTGGAGCCTGCCCTGCGGCAATGCGGTATGGCTTTGAAACCGAAGCGGTCGTGCTGCAACTTTGTGAGGGACTTCATGCAGCGCTCGACGAGTGCCATCCTCTCTTTGTCGTGCTTCTTCGGTTCCGAGTACCATGGCTTTTTTGGATCGTAATAATATCCCGAGATTTCCCCAGCACCGAAAAATATGTACAGTACGAAGGTGCAGAAAGCGCATCCCTTCTGCGTAGCCTCGATAAGACGGGAAATTCGGATCAGCCAGTGGTAGGTGACTTGTCTGGTTGTAATGTGTTCAATGGATTTGTGTCGCAGGAACGCTCCAATCATCGGAAGAAAGCGCGTCACCGGTTCGCAGGACCGGCATTCGGACGATCCTTTGCTAGCCATCTTTTGAGCATTGCTCTCCACGGGGGCAGTGTCCACGGACACGTGACCGCCCTCTCGCAACATCGGGCATGCCTTCCGCACGGCTTGGCGGATGGCCCCCTTGTAATCCGCCTTTGGGAGCTTTTGCTTCCCCACGATCTTGAAAGAATGGCCCGGGTGGATGAGGGAGGCTTCAGGAATGCATCGAGAGCAATAGTGGAAGTCTGGACAGTCCTGGCACTTGTGTCGAGTGCCCGTGATGGACTCGTCGCAGCCATCGCAGCAGCCATTCCTGGATGGTGGCTGAGGTGCCGCCGTTTCCTGGTTGTTAGCCTGGCTAATAAGCTCCTGTTGCTTCTTTATAAACGCCGGGGGGTCAGTGATGGTACGAGCATTTGGGTCACCCTCAAGGGGTGCCTGTTTGACTGTGAACATGACAGACACAGCCGACGTAAAGGCTTAAAATCCCGCCAACCTTGGGGACAGAGATGTTGAGAGGATAGCATGTAGGCGGGTATGGGGAGACCCAGGTTCCAGCGCGACCATGATTTTATTATCCCTTGCAAGAGCTGAAGAAGCCCCTTCGTCCCTAGGCAACATGGCAGCTGACTGTTAGGCAAAGGCATTGTGTGTGCATGGTGGCGCGGCGAGCAAGGATGCTTGCAAGACAGGGGCGAGAGGTCTGCCCGAGCCTTGCTAAAGATGCATAGCGCTAGGCCGGATTAGTTCCTCCTCGTCTTCTTTAGTACCTCCTTTATTCTACACTGTAATTGCTACACTTGCCTGCAGCCCCTTTTAATAGCGTCGAAATATTGCCTTCCCTGTTGCGTAGAAAACATGAGGCCATTGGAAGGCTGCACTATACACTCAACCCTAACCCTCGCAACAGCTGCAACGCCGAGTCAATCCCGTTGATACCCGAAACCCTGGCAGCCAACATTTTGCACCCACGTCAGCCGGCATCGACAAGGCACGCGACCAAGCCCAACCTGTATCCCCAACCGACACCCGAACCATCTGCCACCATGATACGAAAGTAGCAAACCCAGCCGACGCACCAGGCGCTCTCCCGGCCCTCCGCGCGAGAAACAAAAGATGACCCAACAACACCCCCTCCTCCGCCTCGCCCGCGCCGTCGCGCGCCGGCGACCCCAGCCCCGACTCCGAAACCGGCCTCCCCAGCGCAGCAGCAGCAGCAGCAGCACCAAGAAGCCGCTGCAGGAAGACCCGATCCCGGTGCCCAGCACGGTGCCGCCGGTGCCAGTGGCGGCGTGGTGGCAGCGGCTGGGCCCGCTGAGCCGCGCGGCGTCGGCCTACGGGCGCGCCCAGCGCCGCCGCCCGCACGCCACGCAGCTGTGCACGTCGCTGGCCATCTACCTGGCCGCCGACCTGTCGGCCCAGCGCATGGCGGGCGGCGTCGTCGACGGGGAGGAGGTGGAGGCCGCGTACGACCCGGCCCGGACTGTGCGGTCGCTCGTCATCGGGGGGCTGGCGTCGATTCCGGGGTACAAGTGGTGAGTGACTGTCAGGGAGAATGAGACGGACAGAAATAAACCCCTCCTAATCTAACAACATACTCTCCCAGGTTCATGTTCCTCTCGTACAACTTCAACTACCGCTCCCGCCTCGCCTCGCTCGCCGTCAAGATCGCCATCAACCAGTCCTTCTTCACGCCCCTGTTCAACAGCTACTTCTTCGGCATGCACTCGCTCCTCTCGGGCGACTCGCTGGGCCAGGTCGCCGACCGCATCCGCCGCACCGTGCCCACCAGCGTCGTCAACTCGCTCAAGCTGTGGCCCGCCGTCACCGCCTTCAGCTTCACCTTCTTGCCGCCCGAGTACCGCTCCGCCTTTGCGGGCGTCGTCGCCGTCGGCTGGCAGACGTACCTCGCGTTTTTGAACAGGAAGGCGGAGCTGCTGGCGCATGAGGAGGAGGCGGCGGCGGCGGCGACGGTGGTTGGGGGTGTTGATGAGCGGCAGGGAACCGCCTGCGCACCTACCGGCGCCATGGCCGTTGCAGCCCCAACACCCCGATAAAACCCCGACGCGACAGAAGCCCGGCGGGAACCGCGCTTGTTCAGGATACCCAGCTCTGATAAACAGAGCACTTATAATCACATTGCATGGGAAGCGGGGGAGCATCATCAGAGTTGCGGCTGCAACCTGAGAGTAACAAGATAGACCGGCGTTTTGGGTAAACTTGGGATTTGGCCATGGCACGTGTAGACTCCGGTATAAAATGCGCAAACCCCCATGATAAACCCCAATGCTTCTAGTTTTCGCCCTGCTTTTTGCTACCCGCCTCCAAACCTAATCGCAGTTTTACCCCCTACCCTCGCGTGAAAAAAAAAAACAGCACCAACGGCTGTGGAAAGCATGGCGGTCTAGAGTACTGTGCTGATGTGAGAACCCCTGGATAGATGTATGCAAAACAAAAGAACAAAAGAAGGGACGAAAAATCAGCTGTCCTTGAGCAGCCCCTTCATCTCCTCCTTCATCCTCGTCACGATGCCCGGGCCGCCGTACACCATGCCCGTGTACACCATGGCCACGCTCGCGCCGGCGTTGAGCACCTGCAGCGCCTGCGAGCCCGTGGTGATGCCGCCCGTGGCGAAGATGACCTTGGGCTCCGCCTCGTGCTCGCCCGTCCTGGGTCGGGTGAGCACGGCGGGCGGCGGGACAAGCGACGCGGCGCCCGCCTGGGCCGCCACCTCCTCCTTCTTACGGCCCGCCGGGTAGCGGTCGAGCGCGTCGCGGTACTTGCCCACCAGCGCCACGGTCCTGTCGAACAGGGCCGGGCCCGAGTAGCCGCCTGTCTCGGCCAGGGCCTCGACCTCGCGCGAGGTGAGCGGCACGCCGACGGGCACCACGTCGCGGCGCTTGGTGGTGTTGCCGACGATGACGCCGTCGACGCCGCTGGACCAGACGGCGCCCACGACGCCGTTGACCTGCTCGGGCGAGTCCTCGTCGGGCGACACCTTGACCATGACGCGGGGCCTGTCGGGTCCCGTCGACGGGCGGCCGCACGCCGCCGCGGCGGACCGGGCCTCGGCCACGACGGCCGACAGGATGCTGGACAGCGGACCCGCGGCCTGCAGGTCGCGCAGGCCGGGCGTGTTTGGGCTGCTGACGTTGACCACAACCACGTCGGCGTAGGGGGCCAGGCGGCGGACGCAGTCGGTGTAGTCGCGCGTCACGGCCGCCACGTCCTTCTCGTCCGTCTCCTTGGCCTTTGCCACCTGGACGCACAGCAGGCGGCCGGGGAGCAGGGAGCCGACGGGGACGCCCGAGGCCGACTCGCCCGCCAGCACGTCCGCCTCGGCCAGGCCCAGCCCGCGGGCGGCGCGGCGGAGGCGGGTGCGGAGCGTGCGGGCCACGGCGTCGGCGCCGGCGCTGTTGAGGCCGTAGCGGTTGACCATGCCCTGGATCGAGGGCACGCGGAAGACGCGCGGGCGCGGGTTCCCCGGCTGCGGGCGCGGCGTGACGCCGCCGACCTCGACGACGGCGGGGCCGACGGCGAAGAGCGCGTCGGGGATCTCGGCGTTCTTGTCGAGACCGGCGCTGATGCCGATCGGGTTGGCGAGCGTGCGGCCAAAGACGGAGACGGACAGCGAGCCGTCGGCGTCGACGCCGGAGCGCTCGCGCGGGTGCAGGCCCAGCTCGTGCAGCGTCTTGAGGGCGGCCGTGCCCAGGTGGTGGGCGTCCTCGGCGTCGGGCACGAAGGCGCGCAGGAGGGCGGGCACCAGGTGGCGGTGGACGGCCGAGGCGCGCGTGTCGGTCGCGACGAGGTAGACGCCCGCGGCCACCGAGAGGATAGCTACCGTAGTGAGCGCCGTCCCCGCTCCCGTGCGAGCCTGCAGCGGCGGCGGCGGCGGCGGCGGCGGGGTGCTAGACGCGCTGCCGGCGGACGCTGTCGGGCCTGTCGAGGCATGTCGCTGGGTACCGCGGCTCCTCAGGGCGGCGTTTGGCGAGCGCTGGAGGGGGAGGCGGGCGCGGCCAGCACAGAGGGGCGTGGAGCGGGGGAGGAGGCGGGCAAAGCGAGCGAGTGACGCCATCGTGTCGGTCTACCAGAGACTGTGCTCTACGCGCCGGGGGGGGGGCCCAGAGCCTAGACTTGACGTTGTCTGAGGGTTGCTGGTGCCGGCACTAGAGCTCTCGCTCTGCCTGTTTGACGGTCGTCGCGTTTAACTTTGGGAGCTTGGTTGGCTTGGCATGGGCTGGGGCAGAGGTTCGTCGTGCATATGGCCCGTGCGAATTGAGTTTCAAGTGGCCCGGCGACGCTAAACTAGCTGACCTGAGCCGGAGGAATTCAAGCTGCAGGGGCCGCCAGGCACTGACTTCACTGACCCCCACGCCTTGTCATGGAACCCATTCCTCACCCTCCAGTATCATCCTTTCCCTCGTCGATCCATCTCGTATTCTGGCGTTGAGGCTGGCAGCATTCCACTGTGTTCCTGGGTCATCTCATTCAGGCGTCGATCCTTTGTCCAGCATCCCCCAGGCACCGCAGCAATCATCAAACCATCAGGTATTATCCTGTTAAGCTCTATGGCAGGGAGATCTAGGTCTATCTAGTCATCCATAAACCCACGCCCATCAAGAAAGTCAGAGCAACAAGCGCGGCATCGCTACGGTGCGACGAAGAGAAGAAAAGGGGCGCCGTTCCATGTTCACCCCAGCCCAGAAATGAGAACACCAGAGGATGGTGACTCGTCATGCCGATAGACAAAAGAAACCCTATATGCGAACAAAAGGTGGATAAATCTCTGAATTTGTATGGTCCAAAGATGCAAAGGAGCGAAAGAACGCATGAGCATACCGCAATCCCAGAAAGGTCCAATAAACGAAACGACAAAAGAAAGGCACACAAGATCAATCATATTCAGTCCTCCTTTTTCGCCAGCGAGTCATACGCCCACTTGGCAAAGACGACCGACTTCTCGTCTATTAGCCTGCACGCCACGTCGGAGGCCCAGATCAGCATGGGCCACAACAGGCCCAGGGCCAGGGCGACGCCGAGACAGTACTGGCGCTCCGTCTCGCGGCCAGTATACGCCGTGGCCCAGCGGCCGAGGTGCCAGCCGATGGACCAGAGCATAGGCCCATGGACGAGGTAGAGCGCGTACGAGATGCGGCCCAGGTACTGGGCGAAGCGCGTGGTGAAGGCGCGCTGCATCCAGGTGTTGCGGTCGAGCACAAAGATCAGCAGTACCGCTCCGAGCGAAATCCACCAGTGGCTCTCGTTGTCATCCTCGTAGTGCTTGGGCGTCCAGTCGCGGATCAGCCAGCCGTAGTAAGGGGCCGAGTTGCCGCCGCGCTCGGCTCCGGGGAAGCTAAGGAAGAAGACGGCGACGACTACGGCGAACAGAGACAGCAAGCCGCGCCAGAGGGAGGCCGACAGCAGCAGGTTGCGAGCGCCGCGGGCGCGGCTGCGCAGGCGGGCGGGGACGCCCGACGACGACACGCGCTCGTAGGCGGTGCTCGAGGCGCACGACAGCCGCGTGGCGTGCGGGTTCCCCGCCACGGCGGCGCCCGCGGCCTGCACCGACTCCGGGAGGTAAGAGGGCACGGCGAGCACGAGGCGCTTGGAGTGGTGGTAGACGACGAAGGCGACGCGCCTGGCCCGCATCAGGCTTGTGTTTTGCTGGCGCAGCGGCGATACGAGGACTGTCGGGGTGGTCGGGAGGAGGGTGGCGGGCGGGGCGCGGGCGGCGGCGCCCTCGAGCGTGAAGCGGAGGTCGCACAGGAACATGCCCGAGATGAAGAGGAAGGGCGGCCAGTGCTTCCACCACAGACAAAAGGCGGCGGTGCAGACGGTCAGGACAAGGCGCGGGAGGGTGCGGATGCGGCAGAAGGCGGCCATGCACAGGAACAGCACCATGGAGCAGTCGAACTCCATACCCAGAGTCCAGAGGTTCCAGTCGTAGGGCGTGGCAGAGCGGCGCTCGTCGTTCGAGAAGGGGTTGGTGGCCTGGAGGATGTTGCCCCACAGGTCCCAGAGCTGCTCGGCGAGCTCGTCCTTGATCGGGGGCGGGCGCTTGGTGATGGCGGCGCCATCGTTCCACTTGTCGTCGCCGTCGCCAAAGTAGCGATTGTAGCCGACAATGGTGCCCATGAAGAGGATGATGACGGCCGGCAGGAAGAGGCGCGGCCAGCGCCGGAACACGGAGCTGCTCATGGCCGACGCCCACTCGCCGTACCGCGCCGCGTGCGCGAGCTTGAGCGGCTTGTACGACAGCGCGTAGCCCGAGATGACGAAGAAGATCTTGACCTGCGGCGCCCCCGCGATCAGGAGCCGGACCCAGGGCATCTGGATGGCGTAGTTGTGCTGCGGGTCGTTGGGGTCCTCGCTGGACCTGTAGGCGTCGTGCACGTTCCACGAGAAAAAGAGCAGCGAGGCGTGGTGCCACACCACCAGGAAGGCAGCCCAGCCGCGGAGGCCATCTGCGTCGCGGCGGAGGGGACTGATAAGCGGGTGGTCACGCGGAGGGAAACATACGGCAGTTCCTTACCTAGCCATGCGCTGGGGTGCAGCTTTCCTGCCGGTTTGTTGCCGGGCACGACGAAGCTGGGGAGGAGGATGCTGAGCTTAGCGAGGGCCGCCAACGCCCGCGCCAGCGCCGTCCTTGGGGGCCTGCGGGCGCGGTAGACGGCCTTTTCGTCAAAGTTCTCGGCCAGCAGCCCCGATTCTGTGGGACTGCTGCCGCCGACCAGGGTGTCTGTGACCGATGCCCGGTCGTCATCATCATCGTCGTTGTCGTGGAAAGAGCCTTCGCGGCCGCAGTCCTTCTCGTCGTACTCGTCGTCGCTGTCGTTCTCGCCCGACAGAAGGGCGAGTGATAGATATCCCAGGTTTCGTGGCCTAAACCGACGGGGGATCCACGATGACACCATCTTCCCCGATCTCGGTTGAAATTATATGTCCGTCCTTGTTCCACCTATATCCCGCCTCTTGTTCCAGTGGTATTTGTGTTTGTCGTGTTAAAATGCGTGTGTCCAAGAAGAGAAGAGGCAGTGGGGTTCGTCCCAAGGTCTAAGTGAGCGAGTGAAGAGGTGTAAAGCCTAAATGGGTTGTTTGTTCCTTTGCCTGAGGTGTATGTGTGCTTTGGGGCGTGTCACTCGGTGAAGACGGCCCTTCAAACGACTGTGGGAGTCAGGACACGGTCCGGGCTAGTGGGATGGGGAGAGGACAAGAAATGATAATAATGGAAATGAACTAGTTCGATGGACGCTTCATGGCATCAACACCGATGTGAGAGAGTGACAGGAAGGAGGAGCAGCTGGCCACAAGCGCAGGAGGCTGCCAATTTACATCTCCAAGCAGCAAAGCAGACAGAGAACAAGAAGAGGGAGAGAAAGGAGAGGCGGTTGCGGTCACACAGCGTCAAGGAGATAATCCTTTGACGGTCGAGCACATAGTTCACGCCAGCCGGCCATGCTGCACCAATGGCACATCCCAATCAGCCACCCGGGCTGCACTGCAACAGGAGCGGTCCCATCCCCCAAAAAGGGGGGTGACGGTCCTTGGACCCCGGCGCTGGCGCAAGGTCCAACCCCGTCAGTTTAGCCGGGTCGACGAGTAAGAAGCCCGCTTGTAAATTTAGGACATGGCCCACGTTCTAGCCACACAGCTGCCAAGCGAGAGGAGAGGCCCACTCCACCAAGATTTCTCCTCTTGGCCGTCGGCCAGCGCTAGTGCGACCCTTCAAGGCATCGAGTTTGGAAGGTCGACTTGGGGAGTGACACCGGCGGCGGGCGACCCCGCCGGCGCAGGGGCCCTGCTGGGCGAACGCCCGAGTCTACGGGAAATTGGGGTCGTACTGTTCTCAGCTCGTACAGAGGCGATGGTGATGCTACATGCTACAGCTGCTGGTCACTCGCTGCGTGTTCAGTTTCTTGCAAACAGCCGTTTCGCCTAGACGCAGACGCAAAGCAGAGAACCCAAAAGCAAGCACAGAAAAAGGGGCAGACGACACGATTAATTTGCAGGTGCGCGCAAACACGAGCACAAACACAGGCACAAGAGAGAAGCCGTGCCAGCTGCGATCCCGATCCGCACCCTCCCGCCTCCCACCGTGCCACCCTCAGGCCTTCCCCCCTCCTCGGGCCACTGCGGCACAAATTCCCATTGCTCCCATCCAATAGTCGTGGACGGCCCAATGGGATTTCGACATGGTGGGTCCGAGAACAGTGCAGGAAATAACGCCACCCTGCATGTCGTGGCCTACCCCTGCACGATCATCGGGGGCGAGTTCCCGGCCTGCCAAAGAAATTGGGAGAAACGAGAAACGCTCTTTTTTTTTTCTGCAGCTCAACCCTCCCGCCTTGGTGTGTCTTGGGCGCGCGCTTTGGTGTTTCTGGTGCTTCTTCGCCATGCCTCGCGTACGTACCTAGAAAACGGCATTCCTCGGCGATGGATTGGCAGACACAGGCACGACAGGTTTAGCCTTGAAACGACACATGCGGGTAGAGGGCACATGCCTGTATACGGTAATACTGTGTTCGGCATTCAATCTCTGCCATGCAGCCACCGCCACCACGAAGCAGCCTGCGCCAGAACAGACAAACGATGCGGACATGGCCGTTTTTATTATTATTGTTATTTGTGTCTGTTGCATTATCTCAAGACCAAGCGAGTAGATTACCTTGCGCGATTGTTGTTGGCGTAGCAAACCTCAATATGGACTGCAAGTCAGGGCTTCCAAGTTTTGGCCAGCTCGCCCACTTTGCTTGTGGGCTCATTTCTTCGCCTGCGGGCCCCTGACCCATAATTGGTGCTTCCCGTGCAAGGAACCGACCAAGAAAAGGATGCATTTGCCGGTCCAAAAACTGGCCTACATGTCCCAGGGATCACAAACCTTAGTACGGTGGATCTTGGTGGTACATCAGTTTGGCTTGGTTTTCTGAGGAAGAAAATGTATCTTGCATCCACCGCACTAGGGGTTGTGGTCCCTGGGACCTGTAGATTCCCCGAGGCTGGGGTCACACCCACCTGTCACGATATCCATGTCGATATCCATGTCTTGGCTAGCCCAGACCACGGGGCAGAAGGGAGGTGTGAGGCTTAAATAATCTACAGTGGGAGGTTACAAGTGAAGCGAAGCAGGGGACAGGGTATGCACTAGCCAACCGCGTGCGGGATGGTTCGAATTGGTGTACGGCCAGGCCTGTAATTAATTTTGAAAAAAAAAAGATTGCAGGCTAGGCCTTATTTGGTAGGGGCTGAATTTTTCGCCTCCTTCTCTGTAAAAGCCTAGAGACGAGAATGGGGCTGGATGGAGGCACGCGGCGTGAGAGGCTGTCCCACAAGGGAGAGCTCGAGCAATGACGAAGGAAAATACACCCAAAAGAAGAAAATGAGATCTTTCGGCGCACACCTTGGCGCCGTCTAACATTGGCACAACTCACCCCCATAGCCAATAATACACCACACAGGCCGAGGAACCCCTCAAAAAACGAAACAGCTCGGCAGGGGATCACTGGCGCTTGTGGTCTTCTGTAACCACTAATGATGTCAATCGGTCACGACACACTGACAGAAACCATCGCCGATCCCGAAAAGGTGCCCCAATGGGTTCGTTCATGCACCGCCCGGACGCCCATCACATCGCGCCGTGATTAGTGCTCGTCGGCCTGACCTCATCGCAGCTGAGGAGCCTTTTTATGCAGCAACACGAAAACAACACGGCTGACTACTGCCTGGCACCAGCCTCCAAAAAAAAAATCCGCACACGCAAACAAAAGGGGCGCACTTTGAAGTCAATTTACTCGCACCAAATAATAGCCAGTGCCTATTTTATTTTTTTATATGGAATTTAATGGGCAGTTATTTTCCCTTCGCCCTTTGTAATTTTTGAAAGGATCCAAAGTGTGTGTTATGATAACGAGGCATTGCAATCAATTGAATTGATTTTCTCTTGATGTTTTTTTCTATAGAGTTTTGGTGGGGAAAAATATAACGTGTGTCGGATTTTTTTTTTGGAGGTTGGTGCCTGGTCAGCGTTGGAGGCCATGCTGCAGGGCCTGTCGTGGCTGCGGCTGAGCAAGCGCCCATCTACAGCCTCCAGGAGGGAACCCCCCACTACCACCTCTGCAAAGATGCCACCAACACCACTACATCACACTCAACACAACCGAAGGCGGGCACGTTTATCCCAATCCGACCCTCCCTGTCGATTGGTGTTGGCACCTCAG